TGCAATTATTTTAGAAGATATTGTGACATGAGTCACAATTTCAGTTGAATTGGTCATTTTTGCATTTAATTTTCACTGAAAAAATATATAAATGATGTTTATTTTTGGGTTTGTATGTAAATAGCATGTTCCTTTACATCCAGAGAATATGATTTGTAGGCTGGGGCGTCTCTGTAGCATCACTTTGTTTATAGTATGTTGTGACACATTTTACCTTTATCAAACAAATTGCAGCTCTTGCGATTTGGATTTTGCACTTGTTGTGATTTTGATAATATTTGGATTGATTGTTCTGGTTGCCTTGGTTGCCCTTGTTAAAAATGTACAAGAAAAAATCTTAAATGTGACATGAAGCAGAAGTGAAGAGGAGCAGTACTCTCAGTTGTCCTCACAGTTTATATGAAGGAGCCAGAAATGCATTCAGTACAGTCAGCCCTTAAATAGAAGATGGAGACTGCTGTTTTTGACGTGTGCAACAGGCGGATTCAGTCTCTAATTCGTTCCGCTCTTTTGACGTCCGACTGAAATTTAAATATTGGAATTCATTCTGACAGCCTCAGTGTGTTAATTAATTTAAAGTGGCATATAGCATGTACTTGTCATACTGTGAGGCTCTTGCTCGTGACCTGTCAAGTGTCAATTTTTTCACTGCCCCATTTAACTTCCTGTCACCCTGCGCTGCAGTGTGACACCAAAAGCCCACAAAACTGTTCTTCTTCTCTTAGTGGCACAGCGGGGCTCGTACGGCCATGACAAAAAGTGGGAGACACACCGTTCTCAGCAGCCAAACAGAAATTGTTTGTTTAACAAACTGAGGATATCTAAATGCAAAACTCAATAATTCATGGAGTGTGAATGTCAGAAGACCCGGCAGTGTAGGAAGTGCATGAGTGTGACGAGTGTGAGCAAGTGTTGTAAGTGCATGAAAACAAAGTACAAGGAAAGAACAAAAGCTGAAAGCATCCCCACTAAGTGGCTGCCCGCAGGGAAGGTGAGAGAGGGACTGGCAGCATCAAGCCAGAGCTTTTATAGACTTGTAACATGGGCCCAGGTGATAAGATGATCCCCTGCCCCACCCATAAGGCAGCCCAAACAGGTTGACAGGAAAGGAGAGGGGTCGTCACATTAGCGAATATAAATGCTTTGTCTCCGTGTGTGCAGTAAGATGCTTGATGCTGCCCTTCAAGAACCGGCAACAAAGCAAAGCGACAAACACACACCGCAGGGACACGTTCACCCTCGAGGGTTGTTAGGTGGCTCAAACCAGGGAAACAAACCAACAGTAATTCCTTAAAAGGCAGATTAAACTAGAGAGAGAGAGAGATAACCAAACAAAACAAAAGGAGCTATTACTCAAGCAGATATTTAAAACAAAACCCTACCCGCCCGTCTTTTCTCGATAGAGCTGTTCTAAGATGTACTTCTGCTCCTCTCACTGACCAGAGAGCTGCCAAGAAACTGGCTGTACACCGCCACTTAAATGTGCTTACACTGAAGTGTGCGTATGTGTTTTGAAATTCAGCGTGCGTATGAAGTGTGTCATTGTGCCCCTATGTGTCATGGCCATCTGCAAGATGGCAGACTAAGTAAAAGGCTGCCTAAGTGACGCAGCAGAGGAGGGAAAAAATGAAGGGAGAGACGAAAAGACCTGAGAGACAGAAAGAAGGAGGACGAGAGGATGCAGACCGGAGAAGGAGTAAACATCACTGACCCCTTGACGAGTCAGTCATTACAAACTCATGCTGTGCAGCCAAGTTTGCTTCGAACGATGATTTTTAATTGTAATGTAGATCACAAATTTTGGCAGAAATGGTTATAAAATGATGCACTAGACGTCTAGAATATTTCCATTTCATGAAATGGTGAGAGTCTTCAGTTTGAACATGACTCTGTAAAAATCGACAGAAGCTTCAATTAAGTGTTAGAAGAAGCTGATACCATGTGTGTACATATATAATATTGTCAGACGGTAGAATTAAATTATCTTTTCATATCGACATGAAAAGTAAAACAAAGGGAGGAGAACTGGGTCTTAAAGGGTTATTAACATTCAGTCAGAACAATTTTCTCTGTTTTGAATATTTCTGGTTGCAGCTGGTAGACCAAGGTATGTGTTTGTGTGTGTGCGTGCAGTTCTAATCAATCATGTTTGTGTTTTGTAGGGGAGGCAGATACAGGCTGAAGCCATTTTCACAAAGAGGTTTTCAAAGCCATTCATGTGATGTGAGTTGTAAAAATAGCTCTCCCAACATCTGCTCCCTACTTGCCCTTTTTTAAATCACGTTTCGATCAGCAATAAGTCATATTTATAGCAGCCATTTGTTGATAAATCACGCAAACTGGCCCTTCAAGCACTGCATTGTTCTCATCATCTCCTAATGCCTTCTGTCTTAGTGCGATTTGTGATGGGCGATTCCCATAAATCACAGGGGGCTTGGATGGGAATCAGGCAGCACACAGATGGAGGATTTCACTTAGTCTCCGATCACTTGTGTCTGGTCGACTCTTCTTTCCTTCTATTTATTTCAAGTTTGGTTTTGCCTGCTTTTTGTTTTTCTCTGTTTCACTCACGCTTATCTCCCATTTCATTTTCAGCTGCCTGTTTGTTTAAAAGGAAAAAGGTAAACTGGTGATTTTCTGCAGCTACAACAAGTGAAAGTGGAACTTAGAACTCTGCAGCCATTTGGCTTTCACAAGCACAGCAGGGGAAATGACTCCCTGCTCTGTTCCCCGCACTCGCTCCTCAGGAGCACGAGGATGCAGAAACTCACTTTTTTTATTCCCAGATGTAATTTAACACGTTAAGATTCCTAACATTAAGAAAGATGTTTTCTCGCCTCTCGACAGTCAATGTTCAACAGGCTGTTCGCAATATTCGTTTTTTTTAATTGCTTGTTCAGCCAGATGTGTTTCATTGAAGTAGTCTTCCTATAAACTGATTGTAAATTGAGAACAGCTGCTCAAACTATCAGATCTATCAAAAGTTATTTGGTAGATTGTCAGCAGGTTGGAGTTGTGTAGCACTGACACGATGGAAGTCAGTGTTGAAGGCTGAGATCTACCGTATAACAGTATATAACAGAATGTGATGATATTATGGCTCTACCATTATCTTACACCGAGACTGCACATTTAGCGAACATGCTTCTAACAGACCTTTTTGTCCCTGCCGACCTCCTGATTCATCTAACACATGTGCAACTAATAACATGACTCTACAGTATGTTTAATACAACTTTGTCTGGATGAGACTCAGAAGAGCCAGAGGACACGACAGATATAATCAACTTGATCTGACAGAGAGCAAGACACACCTCAGCCGACTTCATTAGGTCTCTGTCGGTGCTTAACGTTCTTAAAATCACATCACGGTGGTGTCATACCCGCAACAGCTGACAAAATTTGACAAAATCACACCAGCTTGTTTACTGATACCCAAAAGCAGGGAAAACACAAGTTCCTCACTTTGTAATCTCTGCTCCATCAGCTATAACGGTGGAGGATTTTGTAACCAGCTCAGAGTGCGGAGCCATGGCACGATCTGAAGGGTTGACTGTAAAACGTTAACTTGAAAGCCTTTTCTACAAAGAAAAAACAACCCAAAAAAGCCAAGTCCAAAAGCAATTTGGAGATCTATTTTACCTGAAATTTGTGTCCTGTTTTCCCTCAGAGCCTGTCAATCTGTATTGACATGAGCATGCAGACAGCTTCAGTTTTCATCCTACACTGGGCATTACTATCTGACTGTGCACACACTCAGCTGTTGTGAACACGCACAGAAATTGATGTAGGATCGTTTATAGTGGTCGTGGGTGTTCAAGAGTCTAATCTTATTGCAGTCACTGGAAAATGGGTGTAGTTTTAGAACAGATTGACGAGCCGTCTGCTGCAGATGAATGGAGATGTTGGCGTGGAGTGGAACGATCTGTGAAAGTCGGGGGAAAACAGCAGCAGTTATTTTGCTACTGGGAATGCAAAGGCATAAAAAGCATTAAAAAAAAAAAATAGTGTGAGAATCCCTTTTCCACGTCCCTCAGGTGTAGAAATGAATTGTTTAATATCGTCTATGATGGTCTCGAACTGTCTTTAGGTCTCCTGTGGCAGTAAAGAAAACAGATCAAAGCATTTTGGAGAAGCTGAAGGTGAAAGAGACCTAGAGAGCAAATACAAGCGCTGGGCAATAGTTTTCTGAAGTCAAGGGCAGCGGTCTGGACAGGGAGTGAAGGGCGCTAATTGCCGTGCCTGCCAGTGTATTGATCCAGTGGGTTTTAATGCTAACATAGATGGACAAGGAGGGAGGGTTTGGTCATCTGTCCATTTGTGTAAATGGTGAGGGCATGACTGTTTTTCTCAGTTCACTGATGACGTCCGGAGGGATGGGTAGAAATGAGTGAACGAGATAATGAATGGACAGGAGGAAATGAAAGGAACGGATGAGTGAATGGGTGAATGAAGGAGTGGATGACTTAGCCCGGTTGAGATCTCCGAATCACTGCACATATGGTGATTCAAATGCTGAATGATGTGAAACAAAACAGGCATTCGGTCTAATTATCAGGCCACGGATGAATGAAGGACCAGATAAGTGAACTGATGATTTAATGAGATGAGGCGTGGATGTGAATTGGTTTACTTATTAAGTGCAATGCCATAAAAGACAGCTTTGATTGATCAGCATCTCGGGCTAATAGGATCACAAATCACTCTTACTCTGAATTTGATCTCATCGGTTAAGCGTTTTATTGGATAAAGTGCTCAAATATTTCGTTTTCTCTTTAGGGTTTGGAATAAAATGTTGGTGCAGATTCACACCTGCATTAAAAGCTTTAATTACAAGCTCACACGCTGGCTTTACTCTCACATTTCTCCTAACTGTCTTCACAGTTTTACAAAATTTACAGACCGAATTCTCTAATTTCTTTAAAAAAATGTCTTAAATGAGATGTGTCTCATTCACTCTACTCTGATGTATGTCTTACTGTTTGCCTTGTTTCTTTCAGGATGATTGGGGCTCCAGTGACTTGTCTAGTAGGAATAAAGCTCGCAGCTCTGATGACAAGGCTCACGGCCTGGAGACTCTGCCGCCAGGTAGGAAACTTCACTACCCATCATGCACCACCACCACCACCACACCGCAACTTAGTCTGGAAATGATAAAATACTGTTAATAATTACAATTATTTGCATATATTAAGGGGACAAACTAATGTTTTTCCTGTCTTAAGAAAAAAAAAAACAAGATTTTTTTGCCATATTTATAAGCAGGATGTTTGAGCAGGATCTCCCTCTGATCTGATGAGAGTTCACTTTCTCATTGTTTGTGCTTGTGATTGTACTAAAGGGAAAGGAAGGACCAATTTATACCATGTGCATGGTAGACATTGTACACCACAGTCGAAAAAACCATTTCCTTTTTGAAATGTCGTAACACAGTGTTATAGTTTCAGTTTTATTACCAGGAGAACATGAACATCCGTAGCTTCTCTAACCCTACCATGTTCAGATAACCACAGAGAAAGAGACAGACGACAATTCAATGCAGCCAGCAGTGTGATAACATACGTCAGAAGTTGGAGCCACTAATTTATCCAGAATAATTCAGGGATCCATTTTAATCTTCCCGCAAACCCAACTATGCATCTCCACCCAGACTTTGAGAAACATTGTTTCAGAGTCGAACAGAGTTGAGCAGAGCAGAGGAGTCACAGCAGAAAGAGCATCAGAGCAGTGATTTTTCATTCAGCTCTCATCCTCAGCTTGGCTCAAAGCAGCTGCCGCCGCCCCTCCTTCACAAGACTGTGGCCTGCGAACGCTGAACACACACTCTTATCTGATCCGGCAGTAGAAATGGAATCCAATTTGAATGTTGAAGTGGGGGCATTTCAACTTCAGGGTGACTTTACACTCAGCGATGGCAGCGTATCACAACATCACACACACACAACATCACACACACACACACACACACACACACACATACAATAAGAGGAGAAGGAAGAAGGAGTGAGAATTAGGTGAAGAGTAGGAGGTGGTAGAGAAGAAGGAGACTGAGATAAAAAAGATGGATGATAAAGTCATGAAAGAACATCTCTCATCACTAATGGAGACTGTCTGATGTGTTTTAAAGCCACAGAAAAAGGAAGCGAATGGATGTTGTTATTTAGGATTGAAACTAACATGTCTTCTTTTCATGAATGGATTAATCTGCAGATTATTTTCTTGATTGATCAATAATCGTTTGGTCTATAAAATGTGAAAAATTTCAAAAACTATTTTGGAGACCAAGGTGACGTCTTCAAATTGCTTGTTCTTTTTGACCAACAGTGTAAAACCTGAGGACACGCATGTTAAAGTGATATGAAAGTAGGATAGGCAGCACATTTGAGAAGCTGAAAGAACTATACTTGCAGATTAATTTTCTGTCAGTTGATTAATTGATTAATCAACTAATTGCTGCAGTTTTACTCAAATTTATTATATTTTTTTTTGTGGTTTAACTTCTCACCTTGCTGCAGTGATGTAGAAGTGTACTGCAGGAGCCTGTGACATCACTGTAGGTCGTGGTTACAGGTACAGCAAAGCTCTCCTTTGACCACACCTGACCACATCCATCAATGATGCTTGTGTGTGAAGGTAGTATGAATCATTTGTTTATCATTATTCTTTGTTTCATAGTTTTTAATAGTGTGCTTTCAGGACAAACTCTGCACCTATGGTAGGTGTATTGAAATGTGACTAACTGAAGAAAATGAAAACATCATGCTAATGCAATCCAGATGTTCTGTGTTGAGGCATCTTTTCCCTGGCAACGGTAACCAGTCCTGTGTTCATCCTGATAGGTTTATATTAGTGACTGTTGCTCGTGGACAGTTCATGGCTCCTTGTGAATTGGTTAATATTATGTTGTTTATGGGCAAAAGGCCAATCATGGCCTTCAGCTTTGTTTTAAAGAAAGATATACATTAGCTACTTTTGTTGGAGGAGATTATCTCCTTGGTTTTAAGGTTGTAGGTGCCTGTATGCAACACATTTATTTTTCCTCAACCATCAGTGGTTTGTGTGTTTATTTCTGTCCACAGTGTTTATTTCTCTAAACAGAGCAACTTTTTCCACAACAGTGTGAAACACTGCTTTCCAGCCTGGTTTTATTTGAGTATTTGAGTAAGACATGTTCGTCTGAGCCGGTAGGTGGAGGTTTCATGGTTCAGTACAGATGGAGGGAAGGATACAGCGTCCTGCCTGCCAGCCACCATCAGTTGGAGACACGACAGCATCAAGGGATTTACAGAAAATGTTGCAACAAACAAAAGCAACCAGTCACCAGCTGTGGGTGGAAACAGCTCAGTGACGAGAGGGAGAGAGAAAACCGTAAAGGCAACCAACAGACCACACCATTCACCAGTACAGACTCTGAGGGTCTAGATCAACAAACCACCAGCTGGGTCTCAATGGGTGTACCTGGTAAAGTGGTCTGAGAGAGTATTGGAAAAATGTCGACTGAATGAGTATACCCAGTGAGAAAAAGGACAGTTAATCTGCTCTGAGTGGTTCGGCGCACAAAGGACTTGGTGAAAGAATGAGTCTGAGTTAAAGACTCCCAGAGTGAGAGGTTGAAACATTAATTTCACCACATTAATTACTTGCTGCCACTAAACATAGATATCAGCAAGGACATCAAGCACTCTGACACATGCACTGTCTCAGAGGCACTGTTGTATAGGCGCAGGCAGATCATCGCAAGCTTCAGCTAATTAGCATGCCAGACACATTCACATGCCGTCAGGGTAGACACACACACACACACACACACACACACACACACACACACACACACACTGGCTCTTTCCTCCTCGTCAGGCTCGGTTTCTGTCTGTCTGTCTGTCTCTGTCTGCCTGTCATACACACACTCATCCATACTGAGAGATAGTGTAATCTCACACTACCATATGTTTAACACAAGCCATTAGCATAGCAGCTGCACCCGTATAATTAGTTGCATTATTATTCGCATGTGTCTGTATCTCAGTAGTCAGTGATAAACTGTGAAATTAAACATGACAACTTTCTCTTTTTAGTGCACAATGATCTCACTAATCTGGTCAGACAGACGCGACATGCTCTGAGTGTGTGCCTTTCTAAACTTATATTTTTGGCAACAGTAAATCAGTGAATACTAAAATGTATGCATTTTTTTCCCTGACTGATTCTTTTGTGTTTTTTAGCTTTGCTAAAATAGGCTCACCTTGTCTCCTGAATTGTGTTCTGCATTTTTTTCAACATATAAGAAGCAGCATACATTTCATGTTAGCTTTCCTCAGTGCCATGTTGCTGCCTTGACGAGCAGCAACTTGAAGCGCCAAGGTTTCCTTCCTGTCAGTCGTGAAGAATTCTTGCATCAGCCAGGCTGCTGCCTACATTTCATATTCCCACTGATGTATAATCCCATTCAATCCTGAGACACATTTTCAGCCTTTGTGAAGGTTTAAACATCATCTTTGGTGAAATACATGTTAAATAAACACAGCATATCCAAAAACAAAAGCCTCAGCCAGAGAGTTGCATTGAGAATATGTTAGTTATTAAATCCTGGATTGCAATTTGTTTTCTAGTGGTTTAGTGTTAATCTAAAAGTTGAACCATAAAGAAGAAATGGGAAATTACTCATGTCATAATTTATAGCTATTTAACAAAACAGGCTAAAAAATGTAGATTAAAATCTGGAAACAAACCTGTCAACTGGTTGTCAGTACGGTACAGCTGTGTGTTTCAGTTCACCTAACACCCTGTTTGCTTTTCCCGGTGGACTTCATTTTAAGTTTTGAAATATCTGCAACTGAATGCAAACTGAATGTTTTTTTTGTTTTTTTTTTTAGCCTTTCCCACCATCCATGCAACCCACCATTTCTGTTTAACTACAAGCAAAAAAACAAAGAAGTAGTGTGTCCTTCAACTTCTATGGACGTATATTGGCTGTGAGCTTCATATATGTGTGTGTGTGTGTGTGTGTGTGTCCAGGTAAAGTGCGCTGGCAGGATTTTGACCAGGATTTATACGTTGGAGCCACGGTGGTCCGACCAGGTCAGGATCCATACGCCAGGAACAAGTTCAACCAGGTTGAGAGCGACAAACTCCGTATGGACAGAGCCGTGCCTGACACAAGACATGACCAGTACGTACCTCTGCTGAGTGCCCACGTCATTAACTCATGCACACCCTACAGTTGATACGATTGTGACTGTGTGCGACGTTGTCCCTCTTAACCTGTTACTGTTGCATGTGTGTGTGTGCAGGGATTTTGTGTGTACATGCTGTTCTTTGCTATCTGTCTATTTGACTAATTGGAACCAGACGGGATAAGATCTCTTGGAAACTCCCTCTATTGTGGTCTATCAGATGGAACCAGGAAGTAGCAGCAGAGCAGACACACACTGCACACTGTCTGCTCCGTTCATAAAACAAACCCCCGTTAATAGCTGTTGATTGTTCTGCTTGTTAAATGTTCGCCAGATGTTCTTGAAATACTTTTCATTCACCTTTTTTAAAAATGATATGTTGAGGTTTTAAACAGTACAAGCTATATGACTGCTGTAGGCTTTCTTGACCAAATAACAAGAACAAAATTACCTGGGTGTTACCTGATTTTGAGTCTTACCCCAAGCATTGTCATATTTCATCAAACCAAAATTTGAAAGTCATGAGGGACTGAATTTGATGTGTGAGTCAGTGAATGAACTCCCGTCTGACTGTGTTTGATTCCTGTGGTACAGTGACTGTTTTACACTTGACTAGTTTCAAGTGAGAGATCACGCTCCGCCAGCCAGGATGCTTTAAGACACAGTGAACGAACCTGTTCTCAGAGAACAGAGGGATATTATTTTCACACCCTGGCTGAGAGGAACACGTCTGCACTGTAACAGGCTTTCTGTTTTCTGGCTGTGCCTCAACCCGCGCTACAGAAGGACAGGAACGTTGTGGAAAACTGGAGTCATTGTGGTCTAGAATATTTTAGCCTGTATTTCCCATCATTATTTTCATTACAACAACTGGATACATCACAAATTAATATTGATGATTTTGTGCTGCGTTTCCATCTTTGAATTGATGCTGAACTTGCTTTTAAAATCTATTTAACAAACAGTGACTTCTAAGTTTAGCTGTAAATCAGCTCGAGACACAAAGAAGCGAAACTGCTGCCATCAGTCATCTGCCTAGATGCACACTGGGTTATTCAAAGACAATTTTTTATGAAGGCAGTGGTCTGGCCCCCCTGATGTATTGACCTAACTCAGACAGCTCGAGCCATTAGCCTACTAAAAGAGCAGGGATGTGTCTCCTATTGATCTAGTAGTGATGTGTCATTTGCGCAGCATGTGGCTGCACTGACTGTGACTGTTTCCCAGAAAGAAGAAGAAGCGTAGCTGGGTCAGTGGCACAGTGGTTTCAATGCACGATCAAAAGCACTTGTAAACTTATTATACAGCTCTACACACACTGAACACCTTTGCACCTGCTTATTCGTGAAGTTATCCAATCAGCCAATCATGTGGCAGCAGTGCAATGCATAAAATCATGCAGGTTCAGTTAACAACAAGGGAGACATTACCTAGTATTAGTATAGGGATCCTAATTAAGGGTTTATTTTCATCAGTATAAATGTAGAGGAGGGTGTCAACTCGAGATAAATGCACATCCATATTGCCTTCTTTAGGGTTTTATAGCCAATGCTGCACTGACAGATGTGTAACCGGGACAAAAGGACCACACACATCATTCACACAGACGATTCAATGACGGTCTGTACTGTACATTCAGCGTGTACTGTACGTTTTATATTGTACATACATAGTATATACTGTACATACAACGCCACACTGGGAAAACATCTGTGTTGGCACAAAATGAAGGTTAATTTCTTGAAACACACCATGTGACACACACACACACACACACACACACACACACACACACACACACACATCCTGTCTTCTCACTCTGCTCTCATGTTGTGTCCTATCACCCATGTTCCTCGCTTTTCAGTCAGGACAGGATTTGTCTCTGTTGCACACACACACAAACACGTACACACACACACTTATACACAGTCTCATGGGATTTTTGCCCTGCGGTCCGCAAAACCAATGTCAGTGCTGGCTTCAGCAGAACATAACTCAAGTGTGTGTGTGTGTGTGTGTGTGAGTGTGTGTGTGTGTGTGTACCTTAGTGTACTGAATCCTTTTATTGTGTTCATGTATTGAGGATCTGTTTAGCGAGCGATTAGCTTGGCTCGCACATTCGGCTGCGTGCTTATGCGCGTAGGAGTGTTTGTACATTTTGTATTTTTCTGTCTTTTTATTCCTAATTTCTATGATTTCTTGTGCTTGTAGTTGCAGACATAAACAATGGAAATCAGACCTATCAGCCTCCAGTGTGGTCATCACCTTCCACAATGAAGCTCGCTCTGCTCTGCTGCGGACTGTGGTCAGGTAGGTGAATGGTGTATGTGCTGTCCACTCAAAAAAAAACTTTTCTATTTTTATTTGTAGGCTGAGATTCTCTCTTCTTTAATACTTTTCTTCTTCCCCTATTTTACCTCTTTCTGTCTTTGTAGTGTCTTGAAGAAAAGCCCTCCTCACTTGGTCAAAGAGATCATTCTGGTTGACGACTACAGCGATAACTGTGAGGAAAGCACGAAAACACATTATACACAAACTCTGACTTATTGAATTCAGCGTGTAAATGCAAATGTAATGCGTGTCTCACCTGTGTGACACCTGTTTTGTGTGTGTTTCAGCGGAGGACGGAGCATTGCTGGGGAAGATTGAGAAAGTGCGTGTGTTGAGGAACGACCGCAGAGAAGGTAATTAGAAAAGGAGAAGAAGAAAGTTGTTTATTTTTATCCCAAAAAAATATCCCAGTGCTGTTAAATGACCTGTGGGATGAAACTATTACATTTTGTAGCAGGAAGGTTGTTTTTAATCAAGTTTTTTTTTTTTTTTTTTTTTCTTCTGTAATTGATGTTTCCCTCAGGACTGATGCGATCGAGGGTTCGTGGTGCAGATGCTGCCACAGCACCAGTCCTCACATTTTTGGATTCTCACTGTGAATGTAATGACCACTGGCTAGAGCCACTACTGGAGAGAGTGGCTGAGGTACACACACACACACACACACACACATACAGAGGTTCACAGATATTAATATTGGTATTCAGTAGTACTAGAGGGGTACTGTATGTCTGAATGGTCAACACACACCCGGTAGAGCAGCTTGCCACTTCATGAGGTCACTCTGGTTTGGCTGCTAAAGGCTGCTTGTAATGAAAAAAAGTTCTCAGGCTTCCTTTAAAAAAAAAGACAGTCAGGGGAAAAAATATATAATACGTGAATAATATCACTATCAATTAGTTGTAACTAATACAATTTCGGTTTTTTGGTATATTCGCTCCATGTCTGTCAAGTTTGTGCACTTCACATTTGGAAAAAGAACGGCACTGTAACTGCTTTAAGTGGATGTGATGTCATCTCAATTTGTTATTACACCAAAACCACAAAATGCTCCAGAATAGTCATTAAGACAATGGAAATGTTTTCAGGGAGGATTGTTCCCTAAGACTTGATCTCAATTGCTTCACAATAGTGATAAAGTTATTTTCTGTCTGTCGGGGAATTTGTTTTTTACTTCCCTCTTTCACACAGAGGTCAGAGGTCCGCTCCAAAGCAGAACCCCTGGAGGTGGTAGTCAGTCGGTGTCTTATTAACGAAGAAAAACAAAGAACGCATGACGTCGCTTCAATAACACAGGAGTGTTTGGACTCATTATAAAACCACAGCTGCAGATTTTCACATTTCATTTTCTGACCTGAAATGTTTGAAAAAATAAATCTTTTTATATTAAGAGTAAAATGAGACCAGTAGTTCTGTCAGAGCGCAGAATGTAATCACTTTGTTATGCAGTGAGATGATTTTTATCTTCTGCGACCATAATAGTCAAGTTTTATCTCTATATTATTTCATTTTAGAGAGACCGACCTCTCAAGGGTCTATGAGTCTTTCTTTCCTAATCACAGCAAGCAAAAGGAAAATCCTGAAGCATAATAAACCCAAACTGATTGCCATAAAAGATTTACAGTGAAGCCTTTAAATAATGACTTGAGAATGAGCAGGGGATTTCGCCACTACAGAAATTTGGTAGTTGGTATCAATACTAGCAAATTCCATGATTCTCAATACCACAGCAAAAAACAGAAAACAACAGAAAAACACAGCCATATTGTCCCTGTGCAAGCAGTCATTTAAATTGACTAACATGGTGAGAGACCCATTTGTGAAAATATTCATTTAAAAAAAATCAGCGTTATATTTTGACAGACTGAACTGTAATGACTGTAGCCTGGTAGCGTTGTGAACACCTAGCTCACATTATGAGCTGCCACTACGTTAGCCTAAACAAGCTAACATTAGCTTTTGTGAACATTGTTTGTGGACCATCCGTTGCTACGACAGATGCCAGCCGTCACAATTCACAAACACTAACAGTAACATGAACAGTTTGACAACATGTTAATATGAAGTTAGCAACTGAAACTCACCCTGAATTCTGTGTACAGATCCAGAGGCTTGTCTTTGAGGTGCCTGGATAACTTTGAGGTGTTTCCTCCTTTCATTTAAAATGCTCTGTGGCACCGCTTGCATACTGGCTTTTGGTTGTCTAGAACTTGTCACTGATGATCCGCGTCAAATGTAAAATACACCAGTATTTTTTTTCCCCACAAGTCACCGCTGACCTGTTGCTGCACTTGCATTTGCTGATGCCAGCGGTTGTTGTGACATCCTGAGACGGAGCTTCTTGATTGAACTTATCTGAAGTGGGACATTGTAAACGGAGGTTGTTTTTGAAATATATCTGATGTAACAGAATAGTCTGATTGTATTGATTGGTTTTTCATTCCTGAAACCGAATCTAAGAAATTTTGCTGTCAGACTAATTGGCTTTTCTTTTCTTTGCTTCAGTTGCTCTTCTCAATAATAAATCACTGCAAATCCAAAAAAAAAAAAAAAAAAAAGAGAGGGAAATGCAGTCTGTGTGGGTGAAGTGTCTTCTGTCATATCAAAATGTCTCAGCCCAAGATGAATAAACTCTCAGTACCTGGAAGCCTGTTCCTGTTGTTGTCATTCAGACCACTGGAGCGGTCCTTTCTCTAAACTACTGTATGATGGAGCTCTGCGGCTTTCAGCTCAGGGTTTGATTTGATGCGAAAAGACAGGGCTGCTTTACTTTCTGTTCTACTTCATAAACACAGTGATAAACTAAATATAGACCATAGACTAAACATATGAATCATTGGCTTTGAGGGAGATGTTTACTTCTGCTCTAAAATTCCACAAAACATGAAGTGAAGTTCTCGGTGTCATCGGTAGCTTTGCTTAGTTTTGTCCTTTTTATTTGTAAATATTTATGTATGAGCTGGATCTCCTGTGATTCCCATTAGGACTTTGCCTAGAGCTGAAAAAGTTTTCATTCATTTTATTTTATTCTCTGCCCTTTCTTCAGGATAAGACCAGAGTAGTTTCTCCTATTATTGATGTCATCAACATGGACAACTTCCAGTATGTAGGAGCCTCAGCCGATCTGAAAGGAGGTAAAGTACCCAAGTAGAGAGGTACATGAACACACACACACACACACACACACACACACACACACACACACACACACACACACATCCTTGTTTTACTACATTCATGGGGACCCGTCAGTGACATAATATCCCTAGCACCTAACCCTGCAAATCTTAACCCTCAAACACGCATTTAAACTTGTGGGGTCCAGCGTTTTGGTCCCCACAAAGCTGTTCGACTCCACAAGTGCAGTTTGCTCCTAGATTTCTGACCCTACAAATACAGTGTGACAAGGCCACGCATACACACACACACACACACACACACACACACACACATACACTTCAGTGAGTAGAGCTCGGCAACAAGGCAGTTTGTTAGTTACATTTTTAAAGAATTACGAGAAAAGAATTTTTAGCTTTTTTATTCATTATTTATTTATTCAACTTTCAGTTACAGTGTGTTTATGTTGTTATGTTTTCTTACTAGCAGCACTGATACTTGCTGTTTTGGCATCCAGTGTTTCATTGTTTTCACTTAAGGCCGCTGTTGTTATGTCTCACACACAACACAAGCACGTCTGCCAAGTCCATACCCAGCATATTTAGTTTAACGACTTAACACACATAAACTCTGTCTTCCAAACTGCATACTATTTACATTTTTACATTTCCAGTTCCAAAGCAATTTACAAGTGGGGGACATCACTAAAGCTTCAACTGGATTTTAAGTCCAGTACCAGTCAAAAGTTTGTAGTATATAGTGCTCTCATACTAATAAAGTCCCTAAATAAGTACACTCAAATATGTCTGTGTACTTCATAAATTTGCTTGTTTGTTGAATTTGGTGTTGATGGCCGCTGCCCCACAATGCAGTGCACACTGGAAATGAAACAGCTGAAGTAGATAATAAAACTATTACAGCGGTGACACAGCTCACCACATGTAGTCTGTTTAATCTCTGAATCAATGTTATTTACTTTCTCTTTAAACGTGCGCTAATCAATATTTCTATATTAAAATGGATCAGATGACTGTGTGTAATTGGGAAAGGGATCACTCATAGAGATACACCCACAAAGAATTTGGTTCAGTCTCTCTGCTCTTATCACCATAGTTTTTGGCTGCAGCTGGTTTCAGCAAAAAAAACTCTCTAAAAAGCTCTAAAAACTCACTGTACACCACTTGCACAGCAGCAAACAGCAGACACACACAGTTAGCCACTAGCTGGTGAACATAATGGAGCGTTTAGCAGCTAAAGATCCAGTTATTTCCCTCAGGAATTGGTGGAGACCATTAGCACAACTAATAAGAGATTGAATATTGGATCTAAATTCAGAAGGACGACTCCAAATAAAAGGTAATGTTGCTCAATGTTTGGTGGACGTGTAAATAGGCAAAAATTTGCTAACAAGTTCATCATATCAGCTTAAAAGATGATGATATGTCAGTAAATTGTTGACGGATGGTTTTCTCTGCCCCCAAGTGGCCAAAGAAATCAATTAATGCAGGTTTAAGTTTCCAAATTTGAAATGTCAGTTGTTTTTCAAATTTGGTTTTATTGACATCTGTTGACAAGTGTTGTACAATTTATTTTATGACTGCTCCTTAATCCAAACTAATGGTCATAATGGTGTTGGTCTTTTGTCCTCTGTGTGTGTGTGTGTGTGTGTGTGTGTGTGTGTGTGTGTGTGTCGGCAGGCTTCGACTGGAATTTGGTGTTTAAATGGGATTACATGACTCTGGACCAGAGACGGGCGAGACAAGGCAACCCCATCGCACCCATAAAGTAAGACAGACATGCACACACACACAGAACACAATCTCTAAGTGTTCACACAGCACTGACGCATTTTTGGTTGCCAGTTGCCATCAATAACTAATCTCACTCTCTACCTCGCTCCATCCACCTGCCCTCTTTCTCTCTCTGCCCCCGCAGGACTCCAATGATAGCAGGAGGTCTATTCGTCATGGATAAGGAATACTTTGAGCAGCTCGGAAAGTATGACATGATGATGGATGTATGGGGAGGAGAGAACCTGGGTGAGTGCCACTGCAGTGCAAATGCAGCTTCAGTGGAGCCACAGTGGAGAATGAAATCAGTAGAATCACAGTAGAGCGGATGAGGGTATGACTCAGGAATGGGTGCCAGAGGAATAGAAAGTCTTGGTTAAAAAAATTCAACTAGAAGAACGTGATTGAGAGCAGGGAAAATGAACTACTGTCACTGTTTACCATCAATACACTTGGCTGCTGTTAAGTGTTGTCTCACACCCTGACTATCTGCCTCTAAAGGTGACAGACGTGTCAGGAGTTTTTCCAGACATGTTTAAGATTAGTTTGATATTTTGGGAACTGGCAAACTGTTTGTTTAGGCCTTCAAGAGGCACATAACTGCAATTTCTTTCCATCACAAATGCTGTTCTTTTGGCTCAAAAGCTACATATGAAATCTCCTCTTTCCCATGAGACTTGGTTCTGAAGTAGCTCCAGAGATGTGTCTCAGGCTGTGATCAACTCATGAGATCATCTGGGTTTATGATAAAAAAAAAAAACAACAGAAAACGCCTCAGTAATTTGGTGGTCAGATATGGAGTAATGCGTCTTCCAGAGTGCAGTTGATCTTACAGTGATTACAGTGTTAATGTGATAATGATTAGAGTCAGTATTGAGTGAAAATCACCGTAGTGTACACAATAGAGCTCATTTTTCAAACAGTACAATGATATAATAACAGCTGTGTCTCCCTGCTGCCTTTGTCTGTATTCAGTTGGGATATTGTTAAGAATAAACAGCTGACAGAATGATCCATGCTTCTCTCAAGGCGGTTAACTGTGAATTAATTGTGATATTTTTATGGAAACAGTGTTGGAACAAGTGTGGGAAAGGAAAACTGTTTTTGACCTGTGTGTCTGTGTGTGTCTATGTGTGTGTGTGTGTGTGTGTGTCTGTGTGTGTCTGTGTGTGTCTGTGTGTGTCTGTGTGTGTGTGTCTGTGTGTCTGTGTGTATCTGTGTGTGTCTGTGTGTGTGTTTCAGAGATCTCATTTCGTGTGTGGCAGTGTGGTGGCAGTCTGGAGATTATCCCCTGCAGCAGAGTTGGCCATGTCTTCAGAAAACAACATCCATACACCTTCCCTGGTGGCAGCGGGACCGTGTTTGCGAGGTGACACACACACACACACACACACACACACACACACACACACACACACACACGCCAAGACTATAAAACACTCATTAACCTCTGAGCCTCCACCCATCATTTACTTATTAACTCAAGTACAACATTTCCCATCCACACCCGTCACATTCCCACCATTGTATAGCCTCTCCTTGATAGTTGTTATTCAGTTCAGCTGAACAATTCAATGACAACTGGGTAAAATCCAGCTGCTGATGAAGTTCATGTGACATGATCAAAAGCCCCAGATATGATCATTAAAAAAAAAAGAAGAGATTTTCTCCTCATTTAAGATCCATCATAATATTAAGATAACAATAGCCTCAATGTGTATTTAATCTCTATGTCATGTCAATTATTTCAAGTTATTTGATGTACTGAAGTGCTGACTGAACCAACATTATTTAGTTTTACTACAGGTGTGAGAAGCAAACCTGTGTTAGATAATGAAAACCAACATCAATTAAAAGCCAATTAATCACAGGGAAAATTGGCTTCAGATTATGAATGAATGCTCTAGTGAATATGGAAGATCTGTTTTGACTTGTGCTGCCCTTTACAGCTCTGAAAAATGTGACAACATAATCACTGCGCATTGGTAATTGGGAACATCATACATGGAAAGATATGGATCTCTTGCTTTGAAACAGTGTCACAAGGAACCACCCCTGGAAACCAGCCCAACAAACCCTCATGGCCCAGATTTAAGAAAGTAAGGGTGGATCAACAATCAGATAAAAGGATTTTAAAGTGGCTGTGGTTTCCCTGGTCCTCCCAGTGATGAACATAGCATAGAAAAAAAACACAAAATGAAGGGCGTTATAGACCAAGATGTGGAGCATCTTTGGACTTAGCTCATCACTCTCTTAAATTCTTCTGTGGTAAACGCAGTCTTTCAGCTGCAGGAGAAAATGACTTCACAGCTCCTACAGCTACACAACATGGCGGACAAGATTGTGACACACAGGGATTCTCAAGATGTAGAAATTAATCCAGCAACACACAAAATGCACCCATGTTAAAACACTTGGTTAATACTTACAAACCGTGAAGTAGATCCTCCTGATCCTGGACCCTGACGTGAATGAAACCAGAAAGAAAAGGCTCCAGTGGATATGAACAGCAGCAGTAGATCAATCAGTTTCAGAGCTTATTATGAAAATGTTTTCTATGGGTGTGACTCTGCCACTCCAACTAAGACACCTCCTGTGGACTACAATGCCAGTATGTTTTTGTTACATAAAAGTGAACACAGTGTCATATGTAGCGGCATAACCCTTTCCAACATTTCAACATATCATTTATTAATCGACGGGTGCAGTGGTGTTCTCATGTTTCAGCCTTAACAATGGAGGCTCACAATGCAGAACAGCTTCATCTGTGCTTTGAGGCTGCCTCAGCTCAACATCTTGCCCTTTAGTCTGAATAAAACGCCAGAGTCTGTCCCATATGGTTGCCGGCGGTGACCCTGGGCAGCGACCAGACAGCACCTGTTTTGTCTACCTGGACACCATTATAATTATTCTTCCTAAAGCAGCATTTCTGAGAGAAACAGAGATGAGGCCATCTCACAATCAGTGTGAAGAAAAGCCCCTGTAAACCCCACATAAAGTTCCCCAGTGAGCATTGTCCTTGTTACTGGGGTGCAGGTGGATCAGGATGAAATGGAGGTTTCTTCATGTTGAAAATAGTTAATTCTGAACATCTGATGATCTTGGGGCGTTTAGACCAGTAAATGGTAGTCTGGAAACATGCTAGCAAAAGCCTCATCAGGACAAAACTGTTTGAAACAGAGACATTCACTGTGCCAGAAGATCAGTTATATTTATTTGTAAGAATTTTCTATGAAAAACAAAAAGGCTAAATGCAACACTGTAGGCAGTTACGTGTCCAGTGCTCCTGATGAAAGCACTGAAGGCAGCTTTCCCTGAACATGTGTCACTTTAAAGCGTCACAGGCACATGTTCTGTACCTGTCTAGAACAGAGCATGGCTGTAGTTGGTGGGTCATAAGACCTTTTATCATTCTGTCCAGTCACGACCTTTTCAGCCGTTCTACAACAGTCAACTGGGAACTATCTCATGATGCAAGATTAATAAAGAATCAAGGATAAAAATCTGACATTACTTTCTGCTCAGGATAAAAGATGTTCCTCATAACTCCACAACTTGAGAATCATCACATTTTAAACTTTACTTCAGGATCCAGTCATAGTTATCTGTACGTCCATTGGTGTAATGCAATAATAATTGTTAATTCAGCACACCTTTAATGGTGCCAACTTTAAACAAACATATTCTTAAAAAATAACAGGGCTTAAGTTGTAGCCAAGACTGGCACAATTACACTTTCTGTCTACATCCTCCAAAGTATTATGGGAATCGCAGCTCTGAAACTTAGAGCATGATTATCCCCAAATAGAAGTAAGACAAAGAATAATAGAAGGTGTGACAAAATCCATTAATATTTATAGTTACTAAGGCTACTAATGTCCCATCTGTCAACATGGTTCTTATATTCCTGGGACACTGACGCTTTCCTCTATCTGTTTATATGCTGATGTTTGTGTTGAAATCCTGTGTACAAACGGACAAAAAACTCAAACAGCTGTGGGGGTGTGATTGTCTTGATTTAGTCTGAGGGGAGGGCCACAGTGTAAAAATATTGAAAAACCCCATTTCTAGAAAGAAAGCAGATATGATCAAGTCAAGCTGTGACTGCTGCTGACACATAGTCTGACAGTTCTGTGTCAGATAGAATGAACATTTGACAAAACGTCATTGCACATCATGTCAACACACACTGATGATCCATGAACGCATTAAGTGGAAAGATAAGCAAATGTTCACAGTTGTCTGTTCAACCAGTGAAACATATAAATGAAAAACAAAGAAGTGAGAGCAGGACAGTGTGTATGTGTCCATGTGTTTGTCTGTCTAGTGCCACGTTTCTTGGACACTAAACACACACATGCACACACACACACACACACGCAGCATGTCCAATTTGCAGATGACTGGTCATGTCTGGGCATAGCTCCCATGCAACACTGGTACAGTCTGCCACATACCTCTGTCCTTAATCTGTCTCTGTCCCTGTTTTTCTCTTTCTCTGTCACTGCCACACTCGGTCTCACTTTGTTTGTCACTTATCACAAAACAGACACACATTTTTCCGTCCTTCTCCATCCTTATTTTTCCTCATCTACTCTTGGTCTTTCTTTTACCCTGTTTGATGTCTCATGTCTCTTTTTGCCTGTCTTCTGTCACATCTCTCAGGAACACAAGGAGAGCAGCAGAAGTGTGGATGGATGAGCATAAAAACTTCTACTATGCTGCTGTCCCCTCAGCGAGAAATGTCCCCTACGGAAAGTAAGTACCCTAAAGTGTAAACCTTACCGGAGTTTAACAGAATGATGTCGCTAAATCAGAAAATCACAAAGGCAGCCACATTAAGGGGCATATTAATGAGTTTGCCAATTAGCATTATGTCAGCTGTAAAAGGAGTCAGTAACCCCTTTTATGGAGCTGACATGAGGCAGTTAATGTGGCTTAAAAGAGGGCGAAAAGTCGGTGCCTGATTTGCACTGATCAAAAGACTGTCATATTATTTGATGTGCTGAAGGGATTAGTGTGAAATTATAACGGCATAGGGCAAAGAAAAAGAACATGATGGACACAAACGGCTCTAGTAAAAAGGATCAAGGATCAGATGGCAGAGCTCCATGAAAATGGTAGATGGATATTAAAACAGGATTGTTTTAGAGTTTTTAGCCATGCGAGCGACTTGGCTCTAGGGATGGTAATGTCAGGTGGACTTCTCTTTGAGATATTAGACTCGAATATCTCAACAACTACTGGATGGATTGACATGAAATTTTGTGCAGATATTTATGGTTCCCAGAGGATGACACCTGCTGACTCTTGGGATCCTTTGATTCTTCGTCTAGTGCCACCAGCAGGTCAAATTTTTCACTTATCTACTGAAATATTTTAGCATCTATAAGATGGACTGGCACAAAACCGCAATGTTGACATTTGAGGTTTTGTCCCGACAACTGCTGGATGGATTGATATGAAATTTGTGTCACACATTCATATCCCCCTCAGGATGAAGGGTAATAACTTCAGTGATTCCCTGGCAATTCATTTACCACCATCATGTGGTCAATATTTAAATGTGTCCAATACTTTGGTTCATTGCCAAACACCTGCAAAACTAATGACATTCCCATCACTCAGCCTTAGCTGTACTTTTAGTACTATGTAATATCTATTAGCATGCTAACACACTGAACTGAAAGATGTTGAACATGGTAAACATTATACTTGTTAAACATGAGCATGTTAGCATTATTATTGTTGTGTCCTGTTGTTGTGTTGTCTGTTCCCTTCTTTTCCACCTTATCTGCAACCTAGCTTACTGTGTCTTTGTTCCTCGTCCCGCCTCCAGAAGAGTCTTATGCACTCTCACATTCATGCGGTGTAGAGAGACAAAGATAAAAAGGCTTCTTGTGTGACCTTGTGGGAACACTCTGGGCATCTTCCTCCAGTGTCAGCCTAATCAGTTATTTTCCCCAAAGGATGCCGCCTCAGATGTGCCCTGGGCCTCCACCCCCTGCCCTTACAGAATGACTGAGCAGGGCTATAATTCAGTCAAACTTTAGAGATGTATTGGACACCACAAGTGATCAATGCTTTAATTCTCTCACTGTCTCTTCCTTTCACCCAGTATCCAGAGCCGTTTGGAGATGAAGAAGAGATTAGGCTGTAAGCCATTTAAATGGTACCTGGAGAATGTCTACCCTGAACTGAGGTAAGACAATGAGAGCATTTTATATAATATGATAGAGTGCAAATGACTGCAATGACACTAATGACTAACCATTATCCGCAATTATGATTCAAACACATTATTACATTTTGGCAGGTTTGCAGTTTGTCTTATATGAATGAGATAAATAATGCATAAATGTTAAAAGTTTAAAATTTTAATTGTTTCAGATGTAATTACTTAAATACTATACTGTCCCATTGGCTCTTTCCTTTTCTGTCACCATACTTACATCACTGTCTGCTGTTAACAGTCAAATTATAAAGCCTTAATATCTTGATACAAGCACGATACAGTTAATATGAAATCTAACAACACTGTGTTTGTGTTTGTGTAGGGTCCCAGATCACCAGGACATAGCGTTTGGAGCCTTGCAGCAGGGAGGAAACTGTCTGGACACCCTGGGTCATTTTGCTGATGGGGTGGTGGGCGTCTATGAATGCCACAACGCTGGGGGAAACCAGGTAGCGTTACCACGAGGACACACACAGGTCAGCTTGTCAAATCTTTGCTCTAGAAACACCTGGGTGGCAGCTGGTGGCACTTGTGGTGAGAATACAGAGGGTATGTTAAAGGATTCAGCTATTTTAGCATTCAGGGTTGACTGATTTTTTTCTTTCGGCTTGACTTTTGTGACATATGCACTGAACTTACAGAGTTTCTGTTCACTGAAGTATTTTACATTGCTCTTAGAGGACGTGGTAATTTCTTGGAGCACTTTGAATGTAGAGAGTTTCCACTATGTGTGTGTGTGTGAGTGTGAGTGTGAGTGTGCGCATGAGCTTACACCAGTGTGTTTATGTCGGCAGTTTCTCAAATAGTTTTTTCCTGAAATAGAACGACAGGTGTAGAGGGGGGAAACTGCTGCTCCAGACATCGACTTTACATATCTGGTTTACTCTCATCATTTTGCGGTTCTTGCCACATAAGTAGTTTTCAAAACTTTTCAAACTTGTGCTGTATCAAATCTAGCTTGAAATTAACCGCAGCTCCGACCAGCAAAGACGGCCTGTTCAATTAGACATGTGAATGACAATGTGGTTCTTTAGACAACATGTTTTGAGGGGAAATTAATGTCTCTATGGATACTAGCACTAACTCCTTTGGGTGTCAGTTTTAGAGGAAGAGTATAATATAACACAGATACATCATTATCTATTGCTGCGATTGTTTGTTAAATCAGAGCAGCACATACCATTATAGATCAAAAATGTCATGTAAACATGGTAAAACTGGTCTTACTTTCATCATCACTTGATCAACCAATTTGCAGTAATGCCAGACATTTGTTCAGTGTAACATGTCAAACTCAGTGTGTGCCAGTTGTTGTAAGTAAATGGGACTTTTTGTTCAAATAACCACTAATAGATTTTTTGTGCAGCACCGTAACATGTATTGTGCAGCCATATTATGTTATATGATAGAACATCAGGTCAGAACATGATATTGACCAATACTCGGATTATTGGAAAAAGCTCAGAGCATTTATACTAATATTTTTACATGTATGTATTTTTGTAAAGGAATGGGCCCTGACCAAGGATAAATCGGTTAAGCACATGGACTTGTGTCTGACTGTGGTGGACAGAACAGCCGGCTCCCTCATTAAATTACAAGGCTGTCGAGAGAATGACAGCAGACAGGTAAAGACACTGAGTTTGGTCAGCAGCTTCACTCTCGTCTCGAGGGACATTTGTAACATTTCTGCACAGTACGTGTTTTGTATGTGTGTGTCATATTGTCGTTTTCTTCTCGACAGAAATGGGAGCAGATTGAGTCCAACTCGAAGCTTCGTCACGTGGGCAGTAACCTCTGTCTGGACAGCCGCAGTGCCAGGATGGGCGGACTCACTGTGGAGGTCTGCAGCCCCAGCCTCAACCAGCAGTGGAAGTTCACCCTCAATTTACAATCATAGGGGGCGCTACACAGTTGGATCTTGGATAGAGACACCAACGGACTCTGAAACGCTGGTAAGAAGATGGACTCCAGGAGAAAGACAAACTCAATGGATAAATGGATGCTTTTAGCTCCTCCTCCTCCTCCTCCTCCTCAGAGGTGCAGCCAGTCATGTCTACACCCCTCTCCCCCACCTCACCCCTCCTAAAAGAAAAACAACAACAAAAAAAAACAACAAAAAAAAACCACAACGAGCCACGCCCCCTGGGGGGAGGGGCTTGCAGACCATACTGGAGTAAGCAGAAACTTGACTGTATTTGATGGATGGGTGGCGACAGTGATGATCGTGATGAGGATAAAAGCGATGAAGAGGCTTTCCATCCAAACTACATACCTCAGTGTTTTTTCATTGATGGTTCCAGAGGCAAATGACGAATGAATTCTTTTTGTTCTTTTACTTTCTTCAATGCTGGTGAAATAGAACTCTCTGACGTTTTTATTTTGTAATTATTTTATTTTCTTATTAATATTTTTTATTTCTTGGTCTTAATTCTGTATGGGGGTTCACAGGAGCTTTTTTTTTTTTGTTCTTGAAAGAATCAGATGTTGGATGTTGGTGTTGTTGCTCCACTCCAGTGCTCTCTCGTTGGTTTTCCACACCGAGCTAGAGCCTGTAACAGCAGACGGAGGCTTCGGGTTGCGGTTTCGATAAAGGTTCAGGTGTAGAGTAATGTGAAGAGAGGAAATGGACTCAATTTCATGAGCTTCTCCTCTTGTTTACTTTCATTGGTTTACAGGATCAACAGAGATAAAGAGAGATGAGGTGGAGAGAAGAATGCTGTGTGTACTTCCTTGTTTTCTGTACGGTTTTTCCTACAGAATGTGTCTTGCGGAGGGGGAAGGGGTTCAGGGAGGAGCTTCTGTACTTTGGACGGGGCCTAACACCGGTTTGGCCTGGAAGAACAGTTCCTGAAAGCAGGAAGTGTCCTGAAGCCCAATCTGAAGATTTACTGTTTGTCTTCAGGCTGTAGCACTGGCTGTTACAGCATCTTCACTTCCACACCGTTATGTCTCTAAAGAAAAAACACAGAAAATAAATCTCTTACCAGTCTTTTTTTGTTTACTTTTGTCAAAAAAATTTAACCAAATTTCCAAATTGATGTTTTGTGTTTCGGGAATACCAGAGGAGCGATTGAAATCATTTTTCTTTACATACTCTCGCTGTTCTCTATCAGCTCCTTTGGAGCAGTTCCGTTTATACATCTTCCTTTTCCTGCACAGATAATGGTCTTTGCCTTTGTCTATATTGCCATTGTAGGCGGGTTACTGTCTAAGAAACGTGCCCAAACTGGATTTGATGTTGCAGCTTCTTCTCTAGAGAAACAGGTGTTTGCTGCAAATGGATAACAGTGACTTTTTAATATCACCGTGATGAGATGCCCAATATTTTACACTTTTACACTAACAGACATGATTAAGATGATAGTTTATCCACTTTCAACACTACCCAGCATGCACTGGCATAGGAAATTTATTGGTGTCCATGTGTGGCAAATTTCTCAAATGACTAATAATGAAGTTCTGTGACAAAGTCAAGTTGTTTTGTTTTTTTTTATTTATAGAGACCTCACAGATCCCTCAGTTTTGTTGACAAAGTAAAACCTTGCTTATTCCAGCCTGAGAACAGATGTCAGTGTTTCCAAAGTCCTGACTGTAGACAAACTGTATGAAATGTCCATGCACATGTGTTCTTAGCTCCTGCAAGCTGCACGCATCACCAACAAGTTCCTACAATTACACTGAGACAGGAGTGTTTTGCATGAACATATTTGTTTTCCTCATTGTGGCTTTTAGATGAGCCATCTGTTCAGAAGTTTGAAAGTGCAGTAAACAAGGTTTTGCTGTTTGTCCTCACTCTGTTTCTGCTGGAGGTGGGCAGGTTTTTCTGATTGCACAAACAGGACTGCTTAGCCTGTGCTGTGCTGATACAAATAAGAACTCTTTTCTCTTTTATTTTGGTGAGCTGTTTTATTCAGTGCAACAATATTTTGGTGCAACCAAAAAGAATTGTGCCACTTGTTAGTTTCTTGTCACCTGACTGTGTTACTGATGTCCTTTACAGTACATGTATCTGTTGCAACACTAGTCTCCCCTGTGCTTCATCATCACTTCATCTTCACTGCTGTGATTCTCTGTACTGTTAGTCACTGATGAGTAATGAGGGTGGATTTTAGTGGGAATTGGTTTTGATTAAATTTGGAGCGACTCGTCACTTGGCAGCTTTAAGGCAAATACATAAACACAAAACATCTCTGAACAGATATAATGTACAGAAGAAATGACCAATAGAAATCACATTTCCTAGTTTATTCTAGAAAGAAGCTGCAGCCTCAAGTGTTTTTAATGAGAAATATCCTCTGTTTCTCATCATTTCTCTCCCTCTCTCTCACACACAATCACACTTACTTGTGAATGCTCCATAGATTTTTTTTTTTTATCCAAAACTGACAAAGACAGCTGGTTGTGTTTGCTGTGTTCTCTGATACTCTTGTATCCCTTTCTTGTTTTCTGCCATTCTGTTTCCTTGTACCTGATGCTTTGTCTTGTCCTACAAGTTCATCCATCTGTAAGCAGAGTGAGTGGAGTGAGAGGGGTCAGCGGAAACTGCAGCTGGTGGAAAAGTCTATCCTTTGACTTGATAGGTTTCTTCATTGTGCTTTGAGGCATAGGACCTGTGGGTATGAGGCCGGAGTGAGACTCACCCTGAGGGGGGGTGTGAGGAAGGTTTTGTGTTTCCATGGTGACCAGACTCAAGGGCCCAAATCTGGTTTAGGGTTTCAGTTAGATTCAAAGCTAATCAAGAGGTGGATTTACTGTTAAAGTTTTTTAATGCCGGAAAGTTTTTTTTTTTTTTTTTTTGCCATTCTGTTTGGAAAATGTAAAATAATATGAAACATTTTCAGTTGTGTCTTAATTTAAGAATATTGCAATTCACAAGAGGAGTTTTTATTCATATTCCTCAAATGTGCATCTAAACCTGTGTCTGCAGTCAAATCAGAGGCTTTGGTGGGGTACATGACACTAAAGACATGTTACAATAGAAAACCCATTTCCCCCCAGCCTACTACATGGTGCAGCGTACACACACACACACACACACACACACACACACACACACACACAGTCCTTCAAAATGGCTGGAGTTAATTTTAAAAATTAAAACAACATGGTGTTTATTCTTTTTATTTTACCTGTGTTGCAGGAATCGTGCCATCTTTATGTTATAGTCTTATAGATGATTTTCTGCTAATTCTGAATTTGCAACCCTAACAGCTGGTTGACCCTGATGAGATCATTTATAGGGCAGGTCTGAGTCTGGGTTAGTTATTCTTTTACTTTTCATGTATATGTGTAAGGGTCATGTCTAGAACTGTAAACGGGCTAGATATATAATTAATTTGCTATCAAGCTGACATCCAACTATGCGGCAACAATTCTCAAGTATTAATGTGTGTCATCAAATGTTGATGCTGTTCACTGTGAGATAGTTACAGACCCCAAACAAGGAGATTTTCATTTTCAAGTCCACTGTGTTTGTCCATGAGGGTGACATGCTGATGTTTTAATGGCCTGTAGCGCCCTCTATTGGAAAAAAAGGGACTGAATGTAGTAAACTTCTCATGCAAAATGCATAACCAGAGAATTCCAGACTTTTTTTTTTTTTCACATTTTCTTTGTCTTTGGTTCCTTTTCTTTTTTCTGTATAAACTGTTAATTCAGCCCCGCTCACCCAACTATTCAGTGGAAGCGAGCTTCATTACACCTCAGAACAGGCGTGAGAACCAAACTGCACACACCTGAGTGACCATGGCATTACTGTCCGCTTACAACGGGAAAGATGTGTTGTTTAAAGCCTTTTCTTTTTAAACTAGTCTTATTCTTGTTTATATTATTTTTTATGTTATACACAGAGGAAACGGCTGTAAAAGTCCAGCACCTCATTTTGATTGGATGATAAAATGTTTACATCTTTTGCACAATGTGCCAAAGTTCCTTCAAGAAAGAATGAAAATGAGTAAAAGCCTTTGGAAATACAGAATAAGTCGCGGTGAACTCCTTATGTGTTGGGTGCATGTTTGCCTACAGTATGTTGTGTATGTCATTGTTCTTTCTTTCGAGTCTCAGTCCAGAGGGCAGGAACAGCCAGGGGGAAGACGGCTCTTAGCTGCTGATCTGGTGTCAGTTTTTATAACAGACCGGGGGTATAAATTTGGCTGCCTCCTGATTCCATGTCTTTAAGTTTTTTACAAACACCAGCTGTGCAATGGATCTAAACTTAAATGTCTGTAAAACGTCTGTTGAGGCAGTCAGCCTTGTGTGTGTGTGTGTGTGTGTGTGTGTGTGTGTGTGTGTGTGTGCGTGTGTGCGTGTGTGCGTGTGTGTGTGTGCGTGCGTGCGCTACACTTTGGAAATAGCTAAAAGCTTCATCCAAAGACAGGAAGGATATTGTCAATCTTACAGACAGACATCTTTATTTGCATTAAAAGTATAACTGAACACCAGTCGGTGAAGAAGAGCATCTTCCCCACTGAGCCAGTAGGAGTTTATTCTTACTGTCTCTGTTTTGGAGGGAAACAATCAACAGTTTATTGGAGTTTAACGGGAGAAGGTGTAATGTTTTTGGTCTTCTCTCAGCTATGCGGTAAAACAGGGAGAAGAGTTTTGTCACATTTTGTCCTAAAGAAGGACGTCTTCCCCTCTCAGCCCACCCCAAATCCCCTCTTAGGATTAACAGAAGAGAAGCCCTCTCTGATAGGTGAAAAGCCCTGCTGAGACATCCAGCTCAGGACTGCTTAAGCTTGTCCATGAGTCACTGTAAGAGTGTATCTGAGTCAGGGTGTAAGAGGGGCTTAACATGCACATAAGACAATATACTGTAAAAGTCTCATCAATCAGTAATGACAGATAACTAAAACATGCAATGGTAATCAGGAGGGAGGGACACGAACTAATGGATTGATAAATGTGTTTTCTACTAGGAATGTGGCTTCATTGAATGACAGCAGTGTTATAATTATGAGGTGGGTGATATGGCACGAGGGGGTCACACATGTAAAAGTGTATATTTTTGTATATACCTACATCAGTGTGTGTACAGTATGTACATATATACACAGTGTACTCAGCCGCGGTTCCTAGTTTTGTTGTCGGACTGTACAGCGCTTCTAACTGTTCCCTGTTTTATAGATTCTGCAGAAATTCAACTTTGAATGAGGAGAAATGATTAACTTAAATAAATGCATTTATATATATAAATGAAACAATGTGGAGTCTTTTGATCTGCTTCTGTGATTGATGGTGCAAGCTCATGATAAAAACCCATCACAAACATACCCAGATATAAAGTGTGTTGTTGCTCTATTGCAGTTTTCAGTCATGCAGCCGTCAATCTGGACTGCTGTGCTAAAACCTCCATATCCTACCGCTGCTTTGCTTCTTGGCTTTTTTCAATGTCAGTGAGTCAGTCAGTAGTTTGTTAGTTGATGAAATCATTTCTGAAATTTCTCTGGTGTTCTGATCCAAGAAAGGACATGGTGAAAACTAAACATGAATTTTACATGTATTCTGAATGATTATTATTTAATGAAGGAGTATTCAAATGTTATTTTGGTTTGGATTTTAAAATGTGCAAATGCAATGCCAGCCAGATCCTCAACAACCCACTGATTTGTGTTGTCCCATGGGGAAACTTTTTGTCCTGAACTATATATAAACCAAGTATCAAATTTCAGTGCAAATGGGTAATATTTCTTCTGGGTAAGATGGGTTACTAGGACAAAGGCAATATGGTTAGTGCAATGGGCTCCAAGTGACACATTCATAATGTATAAACACTATGTTTATAACATCTGTCACACTGAATAGCCTCTAATCGTTTGAAGGAATTCCAACCTTTATACCCAAATTGAGGAGACGCGTCCTGAGCTGAATTATTTGGTTCTTATGCAATTTCTCAACATTAAAAACAAAGGTTTGTGAACACCACTATATGTGATTGTTGAACATTTCATTCCAATACCATGGGCATCAGTGTGCTCCACGCTGCCTCCATTCCTCTGGGAAGGTTTTTCTATAAGATTTTGGGACCTGGCTGTTGCCTTAAGGTTTGAAAAACACAGTTTTCTGATATATCCATGTGTGGTGGAGCATTAAGATTAACTGGAATTTATGAGTCTAACCTAAACCAAGACAAACAGCCCCAGACTAACACTACACAAAATATGGCAGAATATTTTGACCATATGGTGTAGTATATAGGGCATCACTGTATGTTATCTTGCTGGGGTCTGCATATCTGTCTATCTGCCAAATAATTTTGGTAACCTGATACTTTAAAATGTGTCAAGCAAATGCTCTGGTTGGACCTTGGAGCACCTTGACACATACATCTGCATTATAATGAAGTTTTTTTTCTTTAAACCTATTTAAACATTAATGGCCTCCGTTCTTACTAACAGGAATTAGAATCAACTTTACTCTCCGAGTATGTTTAGACATGCAAGTGTATTGACTCTCAATTTTCAGTAGCTCTCAGTGTGGCCTGTTTGCACACAGTGCAAGGAACAATTATACAGAAAGATACAGAGACATACGAGTAAAACAAGGGCAACAAAGATAAACAAAGATAGCACACATAAAAAGGCTAACTATGACAAACAAGTATAAAAAAACAGATACACTCCAGTGGCAGTTTATTGGGTACATGTAGCTAAAACTAACGCAGTCTAACACAAAAGTCCTGCAAGAAATCCTACCATCATCCTCAGTTTTTGTTGAAACTTGAGGAGAGGTGCTGATTGCATTGCTTTATACTGACAGGTGTTTATATTATTTTGTCCACCACATTTATGTCAATAAAGGCAGGTCTAGTTTAAATAACAGAAACGCCTCTCTGTTAAATATAATACAATTCAACACCACAAACTGCAGCCTCCAATACCAATATTTGATATAGACCGGGTTTATGTCAGGGCATCATACCACAGTGCATTAGTTACTGTGTGGGTGCATGTCCGCGGTGTCTCCTCTCCAGCAGGGGGCGGTTAGAGCCACACCGGACACACAGAGCACCGGAGAGGAAGAAGGGGCTTAGCCTGAGGGTGATTAGAGCACTCGACAGACACAGGTGGTGCTCGGTGCTAGTCTCTGAGCGAAGAACCGCAGACAGAACAAGCCATGAAGAACGAAGGTATAGAGGGGACGGAGAGGTTTGAGAGCCCGGACAAAGGCAGAGGCCTGCGGGCAGTGAGGCACTTCGCGGTGGGGGAGCTGGTGTTCGCCTGCCCTGCTTACTCCTTCGTGTTGACAGTGAATGAGAGGGGAGCGCACTGTGAGCACTGCTTCACCAGGTAACATCTTACCTCTCTGAAACAGCTGAAGAACAACATCTGTGGGACACTTAGCTACGAGCTGGTAGCATGTTCACGTTGTTTAAAACAGAGCAAGGCGGGCCAGTAGCGTGTCCAGTTCAGCGCTGGCTAACCTCATCACCTAGCTAGGTTAGCTATTAAACCTCTGGGTATCTACCTAGCTGGCGCTGACTAATATGGGTCAGTGCAGTGAGGCAGCTCACCTGACCTCACACTGCACCATTTGTTTGTAGCACTGCAGAGTCAAGAGAGTCTAAAATACAAGTACAGCATCCTTACTGATGTTTTTAAAGTCAAAAGCTAAAAAGCTTGCTTTTCTATGAGCATATTAATATGCTAGTGCATAGACCTAAACAGGCTAGACACACTTACAGGTAGTATACACAGAGAAACGAGCACGTCACTCATTTTCAGCCTTTTCTTAATGTCATAATATGACATTTCTGCTGACAGCATTACATGTGATCATCAGTTGATGATTATGATTTTCGGTTTTACCTTAATTATTCTGGTTATATCAGGTTTAAATGTTTCACTTATTTACCAATAGATGAGAATTATAACATACTTTCCATTGCATCAGTAAGGATGTTGGAAGTGGAGGGGTTAGAAAGGCTAGCCTACATGATTCAGAGAGTCCTGATGTGTTGTGCGTGTAGGCATACTGTGTCAAAAACATAAAGGAAGGTTAAACTGCAGTGCACTGGTCTATTTAAGGTTTAGCTCTACAGTTCCCTTGCTTATCTTACTGAGATCTGATGCACTATGACACCCTTTGTGACAGCCTTTAGCCTTACATTAACTCTAGTCTCTCTCTCACATTCTCACCCATGTCACCCCCACACACACACACACACCTCCTACCCAGGCTGCCATTAAGGTTTGTAGAGCAGTAAAAGGTTAGGGTGCTAAATATAGGTGACCATGTGTCCCAGGAGAGGAGGAGCCAAGAGATGAGAAGGCCAGGGGTGTGTGTGTGTGTGTGTGTGTGTGTACATTTGCTTCTATACAGTCAGAAACACCCAGTTCAACTTTATGTATATGTGTCTTGCTGTAATTAATCAGATATTTAAAACACAGTGATATATTTTACATGTGTTCTTTTTTTGTTGTTGTATGAAAATAAACTGGATATCTTGGTAGAATTGATAAGAATTTAATTCTAACTTCTTACTCTAATGGAGCACTTATGAATAAAATGAAAGGTTTGGTAACTAACTAAATTCTGTTGATGTCTGAGCTCTGGTGTTTTGAATGAAGTGATCCACCTTTTTGTCACAGGACTGAAACAAACCTGCAAGACCAGCTCATTCACCATCAATTTAACAATTAGTATGTAAATATCTTACATGTAAGAAGTATGGGAGAACATAAACATGTTAAAAGAAAAGATCAGGTAAAGTTGTCTCATCAGCTGAAGGAGCACCGTGTGTTATTACTTATAAACTGTCAGCACTGGTCTCCCTTATCACAGATGTAGCGAACTAATGTGTTGTGTCTTCGTGTCATTACAGGAGAGAAGACCTTTTCAAGTGTGGCAAATGTAAGCAGGCCTACTACTGCAATGTGGACTGTCAGGTAAGAGCGCTTTCCATGTCTTTCTTTGTGCATTTTCATGGAGGGCTTGTAGATTATGTGTGAGAGCTTGTTTTCCAGTTTTCACTATTAACTAAAGGAACTGACCATGAATGAATTTTAGTGCAAACAGTAACATATTTTTAAAATATATATAACAAAATATGTGTGTGCGTCCTACAAATATCTGCTGTAGTCTTCATTTGTTTTGGTCTTATTACTTCTCTTTTCAAATACAAGCACAAAGAATGAGAATAGACACATATCAAGCCATGTGATTGGTGTTCAGGTGATTTATTTTTTGGTGTCAGTCTGAGCCCTCCGTGTGCATCCATACATGCCTTTTGCTTCACCAGAACCAGCACAGAGTAAATTAAAGGACTTTTTTTAGTGTTCTTGTGACCCCCCTTGGCACCTTGGACCACACACTGAGAACCACTTCAGCAGAGCTCCAGGCAGCGAGAGAGTACCCGCACTGTTCACACGTTGTTGCTATGACGATTCAGTCTGCCTCCCTTCTGCCTCTGTCTACTTTTAGTTTCAAGGCACAAAACACTATCGATGCACTGCAGCAAAATTTAGTTGTTTTTGTGTGTGTGTGTGTGTGTGTAGGGTGCATTTGCCATGGATGCTCATTTAATGGTGATTAACTTTGTGGTGATAAAATCATTCTTTCAATCATCATTTCACCATCTCGCTGTCAGTCATTTCAGGTATTATTCCACTGAACAGATAATTTAACGTGGATTGTTAAATCATTTCTTATTTCTGTCTTCTTCTGTGTGTTTGCGTATTTATGCAGAGAGGTGATTGGCCCATGCATAAGCTGGAGTGTGTAGCCATGTGTGCCTATGGGGAGAACTGGTGTCCATCAGAGACTGTCAGACTGGTGGCCAGAATTATCATGAAACAGGTAACGTTATAAAAAGAAGGAGAAGAAATGTTTCAACATTCAAAGATGTCTGTTTTTATTGTGAACAACATGTATATCTATGCAGGAAAAGTTTTCACATAAACGGCAAGCGGGAAGCAAAAGAAGAGGGATAAGATGGATGGATGTGAGATAATTTCACAGAATAACTGAAATAAAGAGACATAAGACATCATCCTTCTCAGTTTATAATCAAAACTGCGTTTAGGACTGGAAATGCATTAAAATCCAAGAAAGCACAAGTTGAACATTAAGTCCTACCTTAATGTTTTTGACACTGCAAACAAAACTATGTCTAAAATTAAAGCAAAGTAAACAACTGTAAATGTGTGCTGAAATGAAGTAAACTAGAATTGAAATCAAAAGATCTGAAACTAAATACAAATAAAACCCTCTAATGTTTTTATCTAAAGTAGAAGTATCCTGAGGAGACCACATATTATGTTTTTCCCAGTGGATGTTTTGACTGGGCATACATAGATTCAACTGATAACATAAATAATTGCTTTCATTCATTTCATTTACTGTAGATGTGCTTGTTTTAGGACCCAGATATTGTTCCTGCTTTGTGATAGCTACTGTAGTTGTCTCACTGGCTGTTTGTAATGTTTCTTTGTTACACCTGTAATTTTACTGCTATGGCAAGTGTTAGGAAAACTGAAATTGACCAGTTTGTATATGAAAAGCGTAATAACTGAAGGTGGAATGGGAGCATGTTGCTACAAACTCAACAGAGTTTAGAGCCTTTAAGAAGATAAAGACTAAAATAGAATAAGTGGCTAAGGCTTGATGATAAGTTACATTTATGAGCTAGACCATAGTAATGACTGAAATCATCTCAGTTCCATTTGTATACTTTTGCATGAGTAGTATCATGAGTGTCATGTCAATTTGGAGGCGCGACATTCAGTTTTGCCTCACTTTGCCAACTTTATTTTTTGACTAAAATGATCATGTGTCTTCCATGTTTCAGAGAGTCACAACAGAGCGCACCCCTTCAGAAAGGCTGCTACTGCTCAAAGAGTTTGAAGCCCGTAAGTGTGTGTGTGTGTATGAATATATGAGCGTGTGTTTAGTTACACGTGTGCACTTTTAGTTACATGGCGCAGTGTGTGTGTGTGATCTTCCTGAGTCTCTGCAGTTGTAGCAGCATGTCTATTAATATCCTCTGCTGTAGCCTCCAGTCCTGGTTTTGTCTCTTTCATTCACTAAGGCTGCAGCAGCACTGGGACTTAAATCCCAAGCTTCTGCATACTGTAATTTCATGTTCTCTCCCCTCCTTTTAACAACTACTGTCACTGTGCTCTTGAGCAAGGTACATTGTACGTTGATAAAACTGTGTGTTTGCCAAAACACACAAAAAACAAGACAGTGTCCCATCTCAGCATCCACTAAGTGTTTTCTGGTCCAGTTAGTGTTATCATTTAGTGTGAGCTGTTGTTGAAGGCTCAGATGTGTCATCAGAGGATTGTCAGAGAATTAACCTTCACACCTGTCTCTCATGCACACAAAGCAAATCAGTGGCCAGCTGCTGCCTGCTGCCACCAGTCTGTGTCGGTGTGTGTGAGTTTGTATGACTGACAGTGACACATGGCCTATAGCATTGATATATTCTACTCTTACTAACACCGAGTGGTTCTTCTGTGCACTGGAATATGGTAGATTGTTATGGAAGTGGTAACAAACAACAACAACAACAAATATACAATTCTGGATGAATAGCCAACTTTGTTTTATTCCTTATTTTTTATCAGTTGCCTCATTCTTTAAACCTTGTATTTCTTATTATCAGAGAAAGCCAGAGCCAAATTTCATTACTGCTGATAGATACCCTTGTGACATGTTTTGTTTTTTTTCTTTACTTGGCAGTAATTTTTAGGGTGTTCCTTTTGAAAGAGCTAATAAACACACAACCTTCAGGATACAAGGTGGTCTATTTGTGGTGGCTTATGTTATTGACTTTTCTCTCCCTGTCTTTTTCTCATCCCCTCCTCTGCCTGTGTTTCATTGCCTCTTCCAGATTTAGATAAGATGGACAGTGAAAAAGAGGAGATGAACCAGGCAGATTTAGCAGCGCTGCATCATTTCTACTCCAGACACATCAGTGACCTCCCCAATGAACAGGCTCTCACAGAGCTCTTTGCGCAGGTAAAATTGAACATAATATTTTTACTGGAACACTGAAGAAACAGTGCAGTAAGTCGTATGTATTGCAACATGAGGATGTTTCAGTCTTGTTTGGAGTCACTCTGTATGAGGTTTCTGTAGAATGAGATTAAATGTGCCTAAGCAGCTGCCTGCGTCACCTATGCCCACCGCTGTTACTGCAAAGAGAGATGTTGAGGCTTTTTAATAGAAGCACAACATTCTGAAAATTGATTGTGTCACTAGTAATTAGTCTGAGGTTTTTATTCAAACTAATTCAAATTTAAATTTTAGGCCCTGGACTCACTCTACACTTGAGCCATCTCTTCAATGTGAAACAGAATTTCTAATTATTAAAATTCTTACATTTTTGAGCAAAAAGGAATAGATGAATTCCTAAATTTGGAGCAGTACCTTTTTTAACTGCTGACATGCTGTTATAAATCCACTGAATAAAAACTTTCTGTTCCCAGAAGTATCCAGGATCCTAGGTTGGGTGTGTTTTGTTACTGGCATGTGATTGGTTAGGAGAGCGTCAGAGGTTTTGTCTGACACACAGACAGGTGTTGACCTCTCTTGGTCTATGGAAGAACATGCTGGGTTGCAACATACACTCATGCATACAGACAAAACATTCAGACACACCATGTGCAAATATAGTGTGTTTACATGTGCACACCAATCAGACTCAGACTTGTAATATGTTTTTGTTCACACATCTTTTCATCTTTCTCCCCTCTTACCATGCTCATCCCACACTTGTTCGTAGATACAAACACTGGAGCACATGTTGAGTTGAACCAGGATCTGTATCACACACACCCACTGTTCCTGTCTGTTAAACTCGACACCGTTTAGCTCTTTAATTTGACCTGCCCCCCCTTTCTCTCCACACTACACCAGTGGAAATGGCCTCTTTGGCTTCTTATCTCAGGCTACATTTAATCTGCACAGCTGGATTTCCTGCCTCTCTGTGGAGGGGGGTGTTACAGCACAGTAGAGCAGAGGGTGATGCCTTTTGTATTATACTATTCACCCTGTTCTCTGTCCCTGTCTTCACCTGTTTGTTTGTGTTTTCCCTTCTCTCTTGCTCTGTCCCTCCTTCTCTCTCCTGTTTTTCTTTGTCTCCAGGTAAACTGTAATGGCTTTACCATAGAGGATGAGGAACTCTCCCATCTGGGATCAGCTGTTTTTCCTGAGTAAGTAGTCCATGTCATGATCATTATTCAGGAGTTCATCCAATCATCAGTGTAGTTACTGTGCCAATAAAACTGGAAGAGACAGTATATACAGCATGTTAATACATTTGATTAAAATGATCATTTCTTTCCTCTGTTTGTCTCCTTACATCGATACTCAGCCTCTTCATCATTGCCGCTTTGTTTTTCTGTTTCTCACTGTTTTGAGAACAATAATGTGATTTCACACAATTAGTGTTTTTATTATATTATATTATTATATTATCTATTTATATCCCAGATGCTTCTGGTTATTATTTTAGTCTTTTTTATGTCTTTTTATATTCAGTGTAGCATATACATGAACCACCATGTAGTTCTAACATTTTAAAGCTGCTAAAGGTAATGCTTTTATCTCCATTCTCTGATTTCACACTAATTTCTTTAACCTTTTTGTGCTTCTCATTCTTCCCTTTGTCCTTCCAGTGTAGCACTGATGAATCACAGCTGTAGTCCTAATGTCATAGTGACCTATAAAGGCACAATGGCTGAGGTCAGAGCTGTTAAAGAGATAAACCCCGGAGACGAGGTAAGAAAAGATAGGACTCATTCAGCAACAATTCCTAAAAGCAATTTTGAGACCAAATACAATTACAGAAATAGAGATGTTTCTCAAAGAATATTTATATTGAATTTTGAACAAATGGACAATGTGTAGAGTTTACACCGGGTATGTCAGTGTAACGAGCTTGAAGATCAAATCCCATTAGTCATTCAACTGTGAAAGGTTTAGGTCTTGCTCCTAAGCAGATTGAATTTTGTCAAGAGGGGCAGAAATACAGATGTTTAGATGTTTATTAGTGTTTATTTTTGATTGATGCAAAATGGCCACATATCTCTCTCTCTTTATCCCTTGAACTATTTCTCTCTCTCTCTCTCTCTCTCTCTCTCTCTCTCTCTCTCTCTCTCTCTCTCTCTCTAGATCTTTAACAGTTACATAGACCTGCTCTATCCAACAGAGGACAGGAAAGAGAGGTTGTTAGATTCCTACTTCTTCACATGCCAATGCACTGAGTGCACCACCAAGTCTAAGGTACTGTTGACTTATCTTTCTTGATATATAGAATGTAGGTGTGGTGAAAACTTTTCATTTGTTGATTTGAGAAATATACTAGAAAGTATCTCAACAGCATCAGTGTCCTGTCTGTTGGAAAGTGCAGCAGGTTCACTGCAGGCGTTGTCACTAGTGTGAACCCACAACATACTTGACACTTTACACGATCCGCTTTATAGTATCTCTTGTAAAATACATTAACGAACAACTGTTTCTTATGTCATGTCTTTTCATCTCCCTCTAGGACAAAGCAAAAATGGAGATCAGGAAGCTGAGTTCTCCACCAAAGCAGGAGGAAATACAATCCATGGTCCATTACGCTAAGAATGTCATCGAGGAGTTTAGGAGAGCCAAACACTACAAGAATATCCTCTTCCTGTGATTATAAATGTACTTCCCATTCTTGCACTCTTTTTCTTTCACTCTCTTTTTCCTGTTTTTTTTCCCCTCTGTCTTTCGATTTGTCTACTCTTTTTATTAACAACAAACTTTCACTTCCCTGCCTCTCCTTCTTTTGCTTCATTCTCTGTCATTATTCCTTGACACTCTGGCACCCCCCAGTGAGCTGCTGGAGATGTGTGAGCTCAGCCAGGAGAAAATGGGGGCTATATTTGCAGACACCAACGTCTACATGCTGCATATGATGTATCAGGCCATGGGCGTCTGTCTCTACATGCAGGACTGGGACGGTGCTATGAGCTATGGAGAGAAGATCGTTCAGCCATATAGGTAAATTGATCTGTAAGGCAGACAATGGATCAATCAATTGTACAACAACAGTTTTGCCCTGTAGACAACTTCTGTGGCTGATTGGGCAGGCAGTCCATCAGTTAGAATTTAATTTCACTTGTTAAGATCTCTGTCTCATACAGTGTTTGGAGGTCTAGAGAAATTTAAGGACATAGGTTCAGTTCTCCAGACCTCTGTAAGTTTGTCAAGTAAGAGTTCTCATAGGAATGGTGATGTAATTCTGATTGTAGTCTTTTAATAATTTGTTTTAACCATACCTTACAGCTCAGAATAATGTTATTAATGTTTTCTTTACAAATACAGCATGGCTTATATCTCCCATGAACTATACTTTATCCTACCAACAATATATACACTATACTACAGCACAGGTTAGATTGTGTTCTTTACTGCACAGTGAATGCACGTGATACTTCTAAACGTATTTTCCCTCTGTGGTCTATAACTCTCAGCCACATCTTCTACAGTACATGTTTTAGTATTGTCCTCTCCCAGTTCATATGGTTTGAACTTTTGTAGCACTACAGCAAAACCAAATGTAACATTAATTATAGATTATATCTTGTTTCCTCTCGCATTCACTGCTTAGCTTGATGTATAAATTATATTCTCTCTGCAGTGTGCACTATCCAGCCTACTCTCTGAACGTGGCGTCTATGTATCTGAAACTGGGACGTTTGTATTTGGGGCTGGAGAAGAAGACACAAGGAGTGAAAGCTCTGAAGAAGGTATAATTTACAGACATGTGGTCCATTTGTATATTGATTGGTGGCAAATTGAAGGTCTGTGAAGTAGAAAAGAATGTGTGCTCAGAAAAGGGCAAGAATAAGGATAGAACATCCAAGGATGAGTTAGCTGTAAAAAGCAGTGATTCCTAAGCTGCAATACTATCATACATTCAGATTGATCAGCTGTCAGGAATGGATGTGTCTGTTGTTTTAAAAAAAAAACAAAACAAAAAAAAAACATTTCTGTTTCCAGGCATTGGCCATCATGGAGGTAGCTCATGGGAAAGATCACCATTATGTAGCAGAAGTCAAACGAGAAATCGAGGAGCAGAAGTAAGGAAGGTGCAGCCGAAGGAGCAGAAAGATTAAAGGGAGGCACTGGAGTGAGGAACCTCTCTCTAAAAGCAACAACAAAAATACACATCACAACTGCATGGCATGCATCTTATACCTCCCTGTTTTTAAAACCTTTCCATTGCCCACCCAATTGTTTTCCTGCCTCTCTTTAGGCAGAGTTTTTTGTTTTTCATGTCTACCATGAACATATTGTGGCAGAGGATGACCACATTTTCTATCTGCAGCAGCAGCCTACGTCCTGTCAGGCCTGGACTTGAAAGCAGACAAGTTAGGATTACCTTTTTGGGATGAAATATATGTCTGAAATACTTACAGTTCTAACCATGAACTTCTTTGAAAATGTTGGTTTCTGTTTGCCGAAGCTCATTAAACCCATTTAACACCCATACTGTTATTCAAAAAAGGACCACGTCAGCAGAAAACAGAAACTTTAATACTGCCTTTAAAGCTGCCTTTTGGAAGACACAAAGCTTTCATGTAACAGCTACATGAGGTCCTTTGTCTGAAGTGAATTTTCCTCCAGCTTTTCTGTCCATGGGAGTCAGAGGTCATTCACTGTGTTCTGTGGACCCATCAACAGACCATGTGGCAGCAGTTTTGGCTGCACCTTTGCTCCAGAGCAGTTGCTCATGTTTTGAAATTCTATACAAAATATTGGGTAGCTGTTAGAGGATATTACTACCCAGCCAATGCATTTTAATTCCATCAACTATTCAGCAACAGAGTTTCTGGCTTCATCAATACTTGTCTAAACTGTGAAAAAAAAATGTCTGACCATGCATCTGGTACTCTGTAGCAATGGAGAAGAGAATGCAAAGAACTATTCCTGAATGAATAACCAGTGGTTTGATTGATTTGTCTTACAGTATGTTTTGCTTATTTTAAAGAACAAGAAGTGTTGCATGTGTTATTGTTTATGTTGTGTGTTTCTATGTGTTTTGTTTGTTTTTTGTTTTTTTTTCATATGAGGCTTGTTGACCAAAAGGGCCACGGGTTTAACTGACAAGGAACCAGCTATAATTCTCTATTCACAGTGTATCCTTAAAGGGGGTGCTGATCTGTGACCAGTTTGCCTCTTAAGTCACAGTGAAGACATTGGTACTATAACCTGACCAATGATCCTGGATCAGAGCCCCTTTGCTCTCAGGAAAAAAGGCGCAACACTGTAGCTTTTGTTGCCTTTTGCAAAGAGATACACCATTGTACCTTTTTAGTGTTCTCTCATAAGCACCATGATTGAATATTAATCTGTCATTACCCTAGATATAATATTAATGTGCAGCATGACTGGGTAGGATAAAGGATATACCTTTTGCATTTTATTAAAGTGATAACATGGGGGAATATGATCAACCTCATACGCGATAAACTTTATAGTCAGCATGAATTAATGAAATATTTCTTAAAAGGGAAACGCATCTTCCTTTAATCTCTACTTTAGTAATAAGTTCATTTTTGCACTCTTGTAAACTAAATTGATTGAGATTATTTAAATACCATGATATATATTTATAAAACTATAGTACAAACATGGCAATTTTTGAAGGAAGCATTACCTTCGGCAGGAATAGGTATTTAAACCTCATAAAAATCTGTATCAGTGATACAATAGGCTGTGATTAAGAAAACCATGTTGACAGCAAGGTTTGTCATAAATGCTGGAAAAGTGTTGCCTGTATATTATGGTTTTAAAAACCCCAGCCCCGAAATCATTAGAAGGACTGGTTGCAGATTGTAAAATTGTACTTTTCTCTCTGCTGTAGATTTGACTACATCAGTATATAGAAATACCAAATTAAGAGCAACTTGTGTTAAAAACTTGAAAGTTAAGGCAATGCAAAGATCATCACCTGGGCCTTACTAAGGATTCTTGCTCTCAAAATGATGTCAAGATGGCAAACCTGTAAGCACATTTTGTTTCAATCTATTAGTTTCTGTCGGTGGATATGCAGTGCCAGAGGAACTAAAGTCACAGATCTAATTCTTTCTTTTTAATACCTGTAGCTTCTACCCTTTGTTTATTATAGATGCAGTTATATGCACCACATGAATGTGGGTTACTATGGGTTAGAAATAGCCCTCCAATTAGTTGCCTGTGGTCACATTTGTAGCAACTCCTGCACAGGTGACTCTCTTTGTCACCTGCAAAAATGCATCAAGCAGGTGCCTGCCTTACAGCTTTGCATAGGTAATCCAAAAGCACCATTTGAGCAGCTCTGTTTGACATTTTTACTTTTTTAATGTTTTGACTAAGGAAAGACTATATGGGGGGTTGTAGGTGGCACAAGCCAAAAACCATCTAAACCCTAATGCTGCCAGATTCAAGCATTACATTTCTGGTCAGACTCTAAGAAAATGCACGATTTATTTTCTTTTTCCTGTGATGTCATGAAAGACAAAACCTGTGGCACAGTGATTTAAACGTTTAAATCCATACTCTGCTGCACATATAAAACCAGATGAAGACAAGCTAAAACACCACCCACATGATGTTTTCTTCTATTTCTGTAATGAACTGTTATTTTATCAGGCATGGATGTTATCCTAATGGAATGCATAACTAAAGTCTGAGCCTCTGATTCTTTCTGTACCATTTCAGTGGAACTCAATAAATGACAGTATGGCACTTGCGTCGCTCTAGATGCTTATTTGTTCATCAGAAATGTCCTGCAGTAATCCTGCTGCACTTGCGGTTTCTTATCAGAAGTTTTTCAGGAGTCCATGTCACATCTGCATTTCCCGATCATGTCAACAACAAGACACACATACATCATTAAGCACAGTGAAGCTCTCGCATCCAAATGAAGTAACAATATGCAAAGCTCATTTTCACGAGAGGGAGACTTCATCTTCAAGCTGTGGCAATTAAATAAGCTTTGATCCAGTGTGAAACGTATGCCGTTTAATTAGTCTGAAAAACGGGCGCACATATCACCACGCGCGTGCGTGTGACAAGAGCACAGAACAGTATACGAGAAAACCTGCCCGCTCAGGAGGATTTCAGTTGTCAGGTGTGATGAGGAGTAACACGTGCGCGCGTGTGTGTTACGTAACGTATCCCACAAAAAAGACAGCAAAACATTGTGCCACAGGTACCAAAGAAGACGCAGCAGAGTCAAGATCCCACAGAAGATAACACTATTTCGTTGAACACTGGTAATACCGTTCTTGAATCCTGATCCTTCTGCCCCGACAGACAGTGACCGGTTCCGATCATATGTTACCCTGCTGACGGTCAAAGTGTTGCGATGGAGGGACTCACTGTCCCCGATGGTTTCTGCCTGGACATTAAGGACATCAAGCATTTGTGCACGGCTGTGGTGGAAGACCTGCAGAGACAATTCGGCACTAGGCGCCATCTGAAGTCTAAGTTGATATTGCAGGGTCCAGTGGTGGATACCACCATCGTTCAGTCTTTGCAAGCCCAAGATTTGTACCTGTAAAATACCCCAGCAATCGAAAAAAAAACACACTGACTGCACAATAAAGAGAACAAACCAAGAAAATATGCCATAAACCTAAATCCAGTTCAGTCTCTCACATCACACACACAGGTGTAACAGTAAAACAATAATAAAAACAATGGCGAAATAAAATAGTCAGAAATTGATGATCGAGTTATCGATTTAATGACTCCTTTTGGTACTGAACATTTTCAATACCCAGTGTACATTTTGTTTGTTACTAAAAAGTATTTAGTTGACCTCTGGTGGCAACTGGCCTGTGTCTGATTTTGATTTGCAGAAGCAAATATGACTAGATATTTTTCTGCCGAACAACAATGTTTTCAGTGCAAAAAACTACCAAATTTCCTAGACCATAGCTTGTGAATCTAATGTTTAACTTGGCTCGACTTCTATGTTCATGAGAATTTTGACCCCATCATTTGCATGAATTTGAGTCCTGAACCATTTGTGTTTTTGTCCCCAAAAAAACTTCTGACTGAACACCAGAAATTATAAGACCATGGTGTTGGGAGGTTCATGGACATCCTGTCTGTTATCAATGTGATATTTACAAAGATACACCATATGGTGGCACTGCTGTGACGGAAGCAAACCAATCATCTTCGATCTTGCACTGACGTCACACGAGGTAGCCAATGGGCATGTAGCTGAGTGGATCGCGATTTCCTCCGGTGGAGTTTGAATTTTCCAACGAGCACCAACAGTTTGTGTCTGCAAGTGGAGCGTCGCGCCCAAAGTAAGTGCAGCTGCCTTCGTAAATTTTAGCTTTAAGTTAACGGCAACACGTCTTCTCACAACACATTTTATTATATATCTTTGATTAGTACCAATATTAACGTTGGCTAACGTTACTTGTTGTCATGTTTGCTAAAACCATGTTTACCACAGCTCGATTAACGTTCAGTCTAACAGAAACGTTTATACATGTCGGTAACGGAACGTTTACGGTCCATTTCAGGTTCATAATTCATTAATATCTCAGCGTATCTAGGTAACATCAAAACTAACGTGGTAACATTAACGTTAGTTAACGTTTCTTTAGACACTTGTAACTAGCTGGTATTTTCTAACATCACAATGCCCCCACGTCGGTAAAAGGTAACGCTAAGGGTATAAACAACACGTTAAGGGTACTGTCAATCTCAAGGCATGACATTTTATTTGTAAATAAATTTGTAAACAACATCAGGCCAAGTCGTCAGTGATGTTGTCGTTTTCTTGTTACCATTAACTCGCTTAATTAGAAAAACGCTAACTTGTGTTTAATAGCATTTAATTTTACGTGACTTTATAATTGAAGGAACAGAAGACGCTAATATTAGATCATTTTAATATGTTTAACTATCCTATTATCTATTATCATCATAACATCTCTCACTGCTGAGTTTTCGTTGGGACAAAAACAGTGTGCAGATTTCCACCCTTTAAATACATTTGTCTGTTCAGTCAGGTTATAAACATGAGCTGGGCGGTGGAGGAGTGGAAGGATGGACTTCCAGGGAAAGCCCTGCAGAAAATCCAGGAGATGGAAGTCCAGCTGGATAAACTGAAGAAAGAAAGGAGCCAGAAACAGTTTCAGCTGGACTCCTTAGAGGCTGCCCTGCAAAAGCAGAAACAAAAGGTCAGTGCTTGAGAGGAGAAGATTAATCAAATTTGATAAACTGATTTAGTATGGATAAATGAACTATATTGATTCCCCTGGCGGGAAATTACTGTTGTTGTGGTCAGAGGTTGAAATTCTTGCTAAACATACATCTTTTAATTTTCTGTTTCTTTTTGTCCAGGTGGACAGTGAACGTACAGAGACCTCTGCTTTGAAAAGAGAGAACCAGTGTTTAGTAGAGTCATGTGACTCTCTGGAGAAAACCCGTCAGAAGGTCGTTCATGACCTCGGAGTCAAAGAGCAACAGGTCAGTTACTGATGTAAAAGAGAAATATTTGCTGCAGTTTATGGCTATTTAGTTTGAAATTAATCCAGTACTACAGCACAGTTATTTTTCAATGATAATTAACTGATGTTCATGTTCATATTTCAGAGATGTACTTGAATGAGCCAACAAACATTGTATTTTTAGAATCAAATTTATAGAAAGTAAACATATAATTTTGTATGTATGCTGTATTATAACTGTTACACAGTAACTGAAGAGCAGCTCCATGTCATGTTTGATGACATGGAGATGATTGCACAAACTCACCAAGACACATCAAGTGCTGTAATGGCAAGAAAAAGGAGAATGAAGCTGAGGATGTACATGTCTGGAATTAACATTAATCTATACTTCCCTCTGATTCCAAATGAATCCTGTTCCTGAATCTAGGTGAGCTATCTGGAGGGTCAACTTAACTCCTGCAGGAAGACCATAGAAAGACTGGAGCAGGAGCTCAAGAAGTGAGTTCACTTAGTTGTCTGTTGAAATGGAGTTTTAAGTATGAAAGTAGAGTAGTTGGATTTGTATATGTTGCTCCTGTGAGTTGGTGTCTTGTCAAGTGCTCAATACATCATGCTTAAAATGACTGTATATAAACTGTTTAACTGACTATTGGATGGTTTGTGATGCAGTCTCTGTTTGTTTTTTTTAATCTGCCCAGGTACAGAAATGAATTGGATCGTTCTCAGCCAGCTGGCTCTTGCTCCTTGTCATCCTCCTCCTCTGAGATTCAGCCTTACACCACTCCACAGAAAAGTTTCTCTACCCCAGCTCCTGTTCCAGCCTACAGACAACAGGGTATTTCAGTCATCAATTGTATCTCAAAGTTCCTGCTGTATAGATTTAAAAAAAAAAAAAAAAAAAATTTAGTTATTCAATTCTTTTCTTCACCTCAGTTGTTTTTTGGTTTCCACCTATATGCCTTCCTGTCAAGCTGTCTGTTAATTTTTGATTTTCTATAAACTTAAGTTGAAGGTATAAATGCAAATGTTAGTAGTATTGCTGCCTGTCATCTATTGGGATTTTGACCCTGGAGGGGATTTTCAATTTACCCTGACATGTAAACTGTATGTGCTCCATAGATAATAGACTAGAGGAGCTTCAGGAGAAGTACAGCCAGGAGGTAGAGGAAAGGAAAAAGCTGGAGACTGAACTTAAAGTCTTGCAGGTTAAAGTGAGTACATTACTTACTTATTATGTGTTTGTTTCTTTGTATTTGGTGATGTTAACTTGCCTGTTGTCTTATAGCTGTTGAATCAGTCATCAGTCAGTGTAAGCCACAAGGACATTGCTGCCCGCCAAGCTGGATCTTCCATATTCCCATGGCAACAACAAGATCAGGCCCACAGCCGACAGTCTCAGGATGCAATGGAAACACCTCTGAAGAGGCGAGGGGCATCCCTGTGGGACACGCATGAGGAGACACCTATCAAACCCAACCAGAGAATGAGCTCCTCCAGAGCAGCACAGAGTCCCAGTGGATCCTATCAACAGATGGAGCAGCTGAAGACTCTCAACCAAGGTGGACCGTTTATGATATATTTCTGAAGTTAATGTCTTGCTTAGTGTTTGGACTCTTTCCCGTGAAATAATAAGTAGCTACTTATTTGCACAACCACTACCTCTGAAAAATCTGTTTGCTCCCTTTGAGTGTGACAATCCTGATCATGTCCAGCAGGGACTTGATTTTTTACTGTTTCTTCATCAGAGCTGCGTGGCCGTGTGTCAGAGCTGGAGAGAAATCTGTCCAATCAGGAGAAGGAAATTCGTAGCCAGGCCGTCAAGCTGCAGGAACTGCAAACCCAACTTAACCAGGCCCGCAAAGACTTGACTGAACGGGACAGAGACATCGCCAAGACTAGCCATGAGCTGAGTCAGGTTACAGACAGACACCAGCAGGCCGAGGCCAAGGTAGGCTTCCATGAGTAGTACATAGAGACTTAATTTTTGTGGGTTAGATTTTTTGTTTATTTCAAATAGTTTACAGTAGAAAAGATGGCTAAAAAGCAAAGGAAACGTGTAAATAACTGGCAAAGATGACTAAAAATGTTATTGCGGATTGTTCTCAGTGTTCCTCAGTTGAGCAGAAGCTGAAACAAGTCACAGAGGAGATGAACTGTCAGAGGCACAATGCTGAAAGCTGCAAACGAACCCTGGAGCAGAAACTCAAAGACCAAGAGAGAGACAGTCAGAAGGTGCAACAGTGTGGAGTTATACCATCATTAGGCTGCAATGTTCTTAGGTTTTATCATACACTATAAATAAATAAAAAAAAAAAAGCACTTTTGTATTTTAATCAAATGGTTTTTTCACTTTTATATTCTTTCTAGGAGCTAGCCCAGCTGCAGAGTTCCCACAATGCTTTGGATCAGCAGCTGAACCAGACCAGAACCAAGCTAACACAAGAGGTCCAACAGTCCAAAAAAGACTACAATGTACTGCAGGCTGACATGGAGAAGGTAATTTTGCAAACTCTCTGTCCTACTTCGCAGTTTCTTCATCTACTCAAATTCTTTCTTACTTCACACAGCAATCAGTTTGGGTGATAAGTCAATGAGACCTCCTTTGTGAGGGCAGCGGATACACTTCTATGTATTACGTTGTCATTGTGTTAATTTGTGTCTCATGCCTCAGACTTTGCTCTGCTCTTGTATGTAATTGTTCGTTGTCTATCCCCTTGCTCATTTTAGATGGGTTTCCAGAGGAGAGGGATGGAGAAGGAGGTGGAGGAGCAGAAACAGAAACTGCTGAGGTCAGAGCAGAGCCTCCAGGCCAGCCAGACCAAAGAGCAGGACCTCCGCAAGAAAATGGAGGTTGGTTGCCTTTTGTAGAATATTGACTTACTGTGATGGTGATTTAACATCTCACAAGCAAGTCTGCTGATACAGCTTTCATCTTTAGTTAATGGCTGAACAGCCCTTTCTGGCAAAGAAAAAATGTTAAAAATACCACCAATATCATTACATTTTAACCAAATTACCAAAATGTCCATATGTATTTATCACAACACCACAAATTTTTTTTTCTTTACATTTCTTGCCATCCTTTTTTTCTCCCGGCCTTCATGTCTTCAAATGTCTGTCATCATCTTTTGCTGTCACTTCTCTCCACACTTCTTCCTCCCTCTAGGAGCTGCAGAAAGAGAAGAACAGTGTGACTGTCCAATTGGACCAAAGCAGCAGACGTCTTTCTCAGCTAGAGGAAGAGAAGAAGAGCGCAGACCAGAGTCTCAAACGCACACAGGGGCAACTAGATGACCTCAAAGGTAAATATGTAGCATGAATGGCAATGGCAAAGGGTAGCAGTTATTTTAGAGAATTATCTGAACTTATCACACCTTTTTAATCCGATTGTCTTTTTTGCCCTTCAGCAAAATCAGAGGGACAGTTAGAAGAGCTGAAGAAACTTCAGTTGAAACTGGAGCAGCAGACTCAGGCTTCAGCCCGAGAGCTGGACAACTTGAGGAAGACACTTTCTGATGCAGAAACCAAAAATGACAGGTAAACATGGTTTTACTGTACAATAGCAGAAAGCTATGTTACTATTGCTACTTTGTAACTATATTAAAATCTATGTTACTTAACTTGATTTTTAATCATTGTAAATATTTTTTAATCACCGTAGATCTCAGAATGAACTACAGAAACAGAAACAGGAGACAGAGAGGGTGACCAACAGGTTCATGGACCTAGAGAAGGAGAGCCAAGAGCTGAAATCCAATCTCACTGCGAGTCAGAGTGAGTGTAAGGAACTGAAACAAGAACATCAAGCTTTGCTGGAGTGGAAGAAAGAGAAGGAGACCATGATTAATGAAACTGAAGCTGTGCAAAAGGAGCTCAGGGACAAAATGAACAACTTGGAGAGCAGTCTCAGCTCCCTGAATGAGACTAGTGATGAACTTAAGGTAAGCTGTGTGTGTGTGTGTCTGTGTGTGTGTCTGTGTGTGCGTGAGAGAAGGCCATTGTATATTGTTCACATCATTTTCATACTTATCAAACCATACAGTGAGCTGCATACCCCAAAACCTGTTACATTTTGTGTGGGCTTTCATTTCACAAATAATTAGTTTTAATACAGTCAGAAACACAGAAAAAACATTCAAAACACAAACCTCTGTGAAGGATAATTTATTGTGACAGTCATCAATCAGTGTTAGCACAGTGCATTCTAGGATGTTTTTTTGTTATTTATTTTCATTATAACTTGTGAAAATATGTTGATCTAATGCCATCAAGTTTTAGAGTAAGAAATAAAATCAACCCCAAAATTCAAGTAACATTAACAGTAGTCTTTAAATAGATTACTCCTCACCCTGAATACATCTCCTGTCATTCTTGTAGAAGCAGCTCATGAGTGTGGAGGCAGACAAGGCAAGTCTGTCTGCTCACATCGATTCCTTGAAGGGAGAACTCCTCAACAAAAGCACCGAGTTGGAGGAGAGAGAACACCAGTACAAGGAGCTCCAGTCTCAACTCTCTGAGGCTGGACAGAAGCACACCAAAGAACTGGAAAATGTTGGTGTGCAAGTGGCACAGCTTGAAGCTCAGGTGACTTATCATATTGCTTTTCAATATATTTTTTGGGGGGTGGGGAGGTAACCTTCTAGGTTGAAAGATATTTTTTTAGTAAAATATTTGAAGATATTGAATGTGATTATTAAAAAGCATGGCATCCTTTATCTTTGTGTTTTAATGGGATAATAAATAAATAAATCTCTCAGCATCACTGAATTGCTCTACATTTTTATTCAGATTTTGGTATATTCTATATCCAATAACATTTTTAAATTTGACAGGACCTGAAGCTATGTAATCTATAGCCAGTTAATAAACCCTTTCCTAACCAGCACTTGTTGAAAAAGAAAATCCTTATTGGCCTTGTTTGTATGTTTTTTTTTGTTTGTTTGTTTATTTTTTTGTTTGGTTTTTTTTACCTGAACAGGTCAAGAATCTGGAGTTGCAGTTGCAAAAGGAAATAACTCGAGCAGAGCAAGCTGAGAGGACAAACACTCAGCTGCTGGACGAGCACCAGACAGCCTGTGACCTGGTCCGCTCCAAAGACCAGCTGGTAGAGCTGGGCCAGGCTGAGATCAGCCAGCTGAGAGAGAGCCTCTCACAGACCACTGCTCAGCAAGAGGAGCAAAATGCCAGGTGGGGGTTTTATTTGTTGTTGAGTTCATAATTTTATATTAACTATTTTTCCGATACAACGGCCCTGAGATAGATCCTACCTATACAAACATTATAAAGTTTAGTTTTTGTTGAGACTGTGTGTGAGAGCTCTGCCTCACTGCTACATGACTTTGCAGGGTTTAAGAGGTCACTGGATACAGCCTTAAAGATGCCATAGTGCAGTATTATATGAACACTGTCCCCATTGTTAGACTAAAAGCAACTTGCTTTTAACATCCATGTTTTCTGTCTTTTCTGTCTAATCCCTACCAGGTTGGCGGAAGAGAAGGCAACCTTGCTAAAGCAATGTGAGGAGAGTGTTTCAGCGAAGATTGAAGAGACAGAGCAGATCAAGCTGCGGTTTGATGAGTCCCAGCAAGAGCTGCTGCTCACCAAAAATCAGGTTTGCTTTACCGGACTGCAACAGAAACATATTTAAGTTACTGATTATTTATTCTTTTTTATTCCTTTGGAGCTGATCCAATGAAAACCTTATGATTAAAGTAATTGTCTGGCACTTGATGAAGAGTTTTACGACTGATAATACTGAGTGTTTAAATCTATTCTGCTGAATTACTATTTTATACTTTGTGTTTTTACTTGTGTTGGATGTTATTCCTTACTTTTGTCTTAACCAATAGAAGCCTAAGTTTTTATCTTCCCTTCATGTTTAGGTCAGTTCCATGCAGCAGTTCCTGAAGGTCCAGGAGCAACTGGGAGCTGAGTTGCAGAAAGAAATTAAGACACTATCAGACAATCAAGAGGAACACAAAAAGATGTATGAGAAAAAATCAGAAGAGCTCAAACTGTTAGAGGGGGAACTGAAGGACCAGCAGGGTCAGACAGAGGAGAAGGAGAAGCAGCTCAGAGAGGCTGAAGCTCAGATTTTGTCTCTTGAGAAACAAAAGGCTGAGCTGGAAAATGTAATGCAACAGATGAAGAAAGAAACAGAGGTAAAATACTGTTAGATTTCTTTTGCTCTACTGTGATGCAGTGTTGTATTTTATCATAGTTATCTTCAAGTGCACAAATAGTCTTTAAATATACTTGTACAGATGTACTTGTACTTTACTGTGTAAATCTGTTTCCATTAGTCTCACACACAATTCAAGTTTCTTGCATCCACAACTGCAGTTGTTCAAATACAAATATGAAGTTTAATTCCATTCTTGCTCTGTTTCTTATGAAGATCATCCAGCATGTTGAGACCGAGAAGATCAACCATCTTCTGGAGCAGATATCTTCCTTAGAAGAAACGGTGGCTTCAAACAATGATGCAGCGGAGAAGCTTCCAGTCTTGAAGAATGAACTGGATGTGGTCAACCAATCGCACACTGACCTTAAAAAGTCTCTAGAAGCTCTTGAGAAGAGTCACTCCTCCACTATTCAAATCAAGTCCAACCTGGAGAACACCCTGACAGAGAAAAGTAACCTGGTCTCTGCTTTGGAGAAAGAGGTCAAAGAGCTCACAGACAAGATGAGTAAAGAGTTGGAGAGTCACGCTTCAGAGATTGAGAATTTCCTCAACAAAGAGAAGAACCTTAAAGAGCAGCTCCAAGCCACTAAGCAATCAGTAACTGCTGCCAAAGCTGAATTGAGTTCTCGTCGAGAGGAGATCAGGACCATGAAGACAACTCTGTCTGCTGCTTCACACGGCTTGGAAGAGAGAGACAACACAATAAAGAGTCTGAAGGAGAAGCTAAATAAAGCGGAGGCAGAGCAGGCCAAAACCTCTGATCTCCTGAAGGAGAAGATGGCCGCCATGAACAAAATCAAGGTAATTTATTCCCAGTTATGTCTCGGACCTTACATGTTAACAATCTTATTACATAGAATCTAAATCTTACTATAGTTATGTTTGCTTCTTTAGGATATTTTAACAAATAAACTACGATATAGCATGTTAAGTCATTCTTCATTTAATTATTCACATGCAGGTGCAGCTGGAGATGCTGCAAATGGACTTGGAAGACAATGAGACAGCCATGAACACTTTTGACAGTCAAGTGGAGGAGCTGAAGGGAACTATAGAGTCACTGGAGGCCCAGCTCGCTCAGAATGAGACCCAGATGTCTCACATGGAGGCCAGGCTGGAGGACAGCAAAGCGCAGGTAGAGCTACCGTCTTACACAAGTCTCTCAAAAATCGTTCTGTGCCACAGTTACTGGACTTAAAATGGAGATTCATTATCATTTTTTAGAGCGCAGTATTTTAACACATTTCCATCCATCATCATTTTGATTTGTTTTTAATCTCTGCGTTTTTAAAACCATTTTTATAAAATTCAGGGACCACCAAATTGACATCATCTTTACCAGCTCCTGTTGCACTTGAGGGAAGAAAATATCTTTTATGTGACTAAATCCAAATTCTGTAACCTTTTCAGGTCTCTGTCTTGGAATCCCGCTTAGAGGAGGTCCAATCCCAGAACTCTGTGCTGGAGACACAATATGTCACAGCTAAGGAGGAGTTATTCGACAGAAGCTGTGAAATAACTCGTCTGGAAGAGGACGCTGTGAAAGGAAAACAGCTTGAGGAGAGTGTTGCCGCATTAGAGTCTAAACTCTGTCAGATCACAGAGGAAAACATCAAGTTAGAGACAGCTCTCAGGCAGATAACTGAAGACAAAGACAATGATCTCAACCAGTTTCTCCAGGAGAAAAACATCTTTGAGACTACTTTGAAACAATTAACAGACAACAAAGAGCAAGTAGAAAATGAAATCATTCAAGTAAAGGAACAGCTAGAGGCTTTAGAGAAGCTATCCGAGGAGAACAAACAACTACAGACCACAGTTGAGCAGTTAACTGAAGAAAAGCTGCAAACAGATACAAAGATTGATCAAATGACTGCTGAGAAACTTGACGTTGAATCAACCGTTAGACAAGTCACTGAGGAGAAAGCCCAGCTAGATCATACCCTCAATCTGATAAATGAGGAGAAAATCCAACTTGAGGCTAAACTTAGTGAACTAACATCTGAGAAAAATGATTTGGTTTCCAACTTGAATCAAGTAGTTGAGGAAAAGCTTCAGCTGGAAATTAACTATAGTCAACTGACTGAAGAGATCATCGAACTACAGTCTAGTGTGAATCAAGTAACTGAAGAGAAGCTGCAGTTACAAGAAAGCACTGAGAGGCATGAAAATGAGGTGGCGTCACTTAAAGGGGAGAAGGAGTGCATCCAGCGCTTGCTCCAGGCCTCGGAGCAGGAGCACCAGAGGACTGAGGAGGAGAACAGAGAGAGGTACAGTACATCTTTATCTGCTCTAAAGGTTGTGTGTGCTTCTACAAGTAAATGTATTAGTATGTCTGTTTAATGGTTTTGCCTTTAGTGTTTTGTACTATTAATATTAGCTGGAATTATATGTTTTATCACAGGAGCCACCAGTTTGAGGCAGAGCAGGCCCAACTGCATCAAAAGCTGGCGAGCTTACAGAAGGAGCTGACTGTGTTCAGGCAGCAGTACGAGTCACTGTTGGAGCAGGTGGGCGAGCAACACAGCGCCATACAACAGCTGTCAGAATCACAGAGAACCGAGGGGCCAGGAGAAGAAATCAGCCACATGGAGTCTGAGGAGACAGACATTGGTGGTGCGTGTAAACCAAAACGAATGTTTTTCATGAAACATTGCTGCTACTTTAATTTGAATTTGTACATTTATGTTGAGTCATCTCTTAACAGTTTCCCCAGTGGAAGCAGAAGGACAGATTGATGTGGAGCTAACACATGATTCAAGTACAAAAACTGAGTCCCTTCCAGTTAAGGAGCAGCTGAGCCCTGTAGTGTCTGAACTGGGTGAACTTTCACACCAGTCTGACGAGGCTTTCAGGTACAATGAGTTTTGTACTAATCACAAATAAACAACTATATGTTTGTACTATTATTATATGTTTTATTGTGTGATAAGTAAATCTCATGTTCCTAAACCCTGGTAGTGAGACAGAGCTGGTCTTCAAGGAGGAAGTCATTGATCGAGAAATGATCCAAGAACATGTGGAGGAGGAGAGGCAGGCATGTGTGGTAGAGGAAACGAGAAGTAATGAGGAGGAGAAACTACACCACCAAGAGCAACCCTCAGATCAGGTAGAAAACAAGTATTTCAACAATGTATTTGGCTTCATTCATGATGCTGTCATTGGTTTAACTCGGGGTCGGGGATACTGGTCTTGATTTGATCAATTGATTTGTCTTTGACTTGATATTTAGGAATGTTCAACATCCATGTGAGCATTATTATTATGGCCTTTTTATTTTGTCTTCTTTCTTGCAGGTTCCTGAAGACAGCAGTCGTCCCAGAGATGTTCTTGAAAATGACCCTGAAGTCTGTGAAATGTCTCGACCCATGTCCTCCTTGAGTGAGACCAAAGAATTAAAATCCCCTGGTGAGGAATTAAATTGTGCTGGTAACTGCCGTTGCAATAATTATGTGTTGGCTTATATGCATGATGTTTGAATAACCTAGAAATATCAATGTGTCTATCAGCGAGAGACTTATCCAAGGGACAAGATGACCTCACCCACTACAAAGAAATGATCACAAAACAAGAAAATGAGCTCCAGACCCTGCGCTTAGAGTTTGACTGTCTGAACTCTGAACTAGCACTGAGAAAGGAGCTGACATCCGAACTGGAAGTCCAAGTTACAAACTTGGAAAAGAAAGTTCATGCAGCAGAGGAGGAGGCACATAGTGCAGCACACAAACTGAACATTACCCTGGAGGAGAAGACAGACCTTGCTGACCAGGTAGGGGCAAGCAATTGCACAATGACAAATACCTTACACATTGCAGCGTAACAATAACATTATTTTAAGTATGAGTGATACTAATGTGTGCTTATGTTCAGTTGGTGCGGCTGTCAGAGGAGAGGGAGACGTTAACTCTACAGCTACAAACAGCTAAATGTCAGCTGGCTGATGTTATAGAGATGCTGGAAGGACTGGAGATGGCCAAAGGTAAATATCTTCCTAGCTTACTGCATATGAGGAAGTCATTTCACCATTTTACATTTTAATGATTTTAAACTTCAGTCTGAAACAAGGTACTAATTTCTTAATGAATGTGGTTGTGAGTGCCTACGAATCAATTTTCTTGGTTCTGTAGGTGGATGCGACGAGAAGTTCCTTCAGCAGGAGAGTGAGTTGAAGAGGGTTCGCTCTGAGAAAGCTAACCTGGAGCAGCACATCCTGGGCATGGAGTCTGAGCTGGAGACCATGCAGGTGGAGAGGGCCAGACTGCAGGATGAGATGGAGACTAAGAAGAGGACTTGTTCAGGCATGGAGCAGCAGATAGAAACACTCATGGCAGAGGTGAGCAGAGCTGGACATCAAAATAATATAAGGGTTAAGTTAATGTACATGTATTGGGAAATCATTAATTAACTGATTTTTCCATTTTTCTTTGCACAAAAACTGACAACACAGCAAGACGTTATGGAACATAGTGTGTATTTTAAGGTTACTGATCAGTCAGGGTGACATAACTATTCTGAATATAATTTCCTCAGACAAGCCAGCTGAGGTCTGAGCTTGTGTCCTGCACTGAGGAGCGAGATGAGCTGAACCAGTCTTTGGGGCTCTGGAGAGAGAAAGTTCACAGTCTGGAGAAAACGAACGGTGACACCAGAAACCTAATTTCCATCCTGGAGGACGACATCAGAGCAGGGAGGAAGGAGTATGAAACCCTGCAAGGCAACATGGAGAAACTGAAGACAGAGAGGCAACAGGTACATACTGTACATGAAAAATAACAAGAGGGTGGTTTGAGTTGAGTCTGGGATCAGGGTACATGCCAGATTACCCAAAGTAGGCTTTTATTTACATGTAGTTTACAGTTATGAGTCCTTCTCTGTTTGCTCATGATTTTCAGTTCTGAGTGTAGCAACATAAATGCTAAGAGAAATGCCTCTTTGATTCTGTTGGCTAAAGACATGATAACATCTTAAAACATCAATGCATTCTCATGTTTGATCATAGCATTTTCTAGACTACTAGTTGAAATCCATGTGTGGTAAAATGTCCTCTGTTTACTTATTGTTGATGTTTCAGGATTGTTCTCTAACTCAAAGTTCATTCCTTGTCTTTCACTACAGCTGTTGGAGCAGATTAACGTGCAGGAGCAGGCAATCTCTCAACAGAGTGGAGAAAGAGAGGAGCTTATTGGCCATCTTAACCAGATCAAAGAAGACCACAGCTCTGTCAATCAAAGCACTGAGTCCATGGTCAGCAAGATACAGGTGAGGACGTTTGATACAAATGTTATAATATGTTGTATATTATCTCAGTAATTTAATGGATGTGTTGTTTGTTTAAATAGTATCAAGGAGAGTCACACCCAGACAATATGTTTGAATGGGGCCTAATGTTTGACCTAAACCTCTGTTACATCCCATCTGTTCAAAATAGTGCTAACTACATTGAAAAAGGGGATGGAGGAGACTGTTTGAAATAAATGCATATAGGTCTTGTATCCCTTTCACCAAAGATCAAAAAGAACTTTCCCTCTTCGTCATGAGTTTCCTTTCTAATTTCATCCCCAAGGCTTTAGAGGGAGAAGTGAACCGTCTTTCACAGTCTTTAGAGTCCTCTCTACTGGAAAAAGGAGAGATTGCCTCTCGTCTGAACGCCACACAAGATGAGGTCCAGCAGATGAGGACTGGTATTGAAAAGCTTCAGGTCCGCATTGAGTCAGATGAGCGAAAGAAAAAGAAGATGGGAGAGCTGCTGAAAGGTGACTTTTCATATCTTTGGAAATGACATGACCGCTTAAGTTTTGTGATGTGTTGGCCTAAACATGACTGTATCTCTGTAGCTGCCCAGAGAAAGTCAGACTTGCTGCAAGATCGCATTGATGCCCTGGAGCGAGAGAAGGAAGATGTAGAGCAAAGTCTAGAGGAAGCTTTTCTACAGGTATTCTGTCAAAAAACATCAGTGTATTTTTCTTACATTAACACAGTTTTTCTTTCACTGTTGCAACTTATTTTTGCCAAGATAAAATTCACATGTGGAGGGGTTTGATCAAACAAAGGGTAAGAAAATCTGCTTACATTGTATTAAATACAAATATTATATCCTTTTATACAGGCTGAGACAGCCAAAGCTGAGCTGGAGGAGGAGAGGAGAAAGGTACTTTTAAACTAGTCTGTTTGGCTATTCGATGCCCTGTTCCATACTTTATGACACAATATGTCAACCAAGAAATATATCAATCATTTCTTTCATGCTCTGACTTTCCATCTTGATTTTTTTTTCCTTCTCTCTTTGCTTGTCTCCTTTCACAAACTCTGCTGCTGTCGGTCTTGAACCCTCACCACTCTTAGGTGGAGGAGGAAAAGGCAAAGCTCAGTGAGAAACTATTGGAGCTCTCTGCCATGCTGGAAAGCCTGAGATCTGAGAAACAACACATGGAGAGAGAGTTGGAAACGAAACACAGAGAGATAGAGGAACTGAAGGCTGCTAAAGAAGAGCTGGAGAGAGGATTGGAGAAGGCCGAGGTAGATAGGAGAGAGGAAGAGGAGAGACACAAATACAAGGTAGAAGAGCTTGAGAAAGGGCTGAGAGAGGAAGCAGAGAGACAAATTAGAGAAGTTGATTGCCTCCAGGAGCAGCTGGAAGCCTCTCGTCAAAGGGAGATCTCACTTGAACAAAAGAGCGCAGAAACAGAAGTGGAGAAAGACAGGGTGCAGTCTCTGCTGGTAGAGTTGGAGAAAGAGAAACAGTGTCTGCAGAGTTCTCTGGAGGAGTGGCAGACAGAGGGAGACAGGCTCCGCTCTCAGGGAGACGAGTGGGAGAAGGAGAGAAACAACCTGAGGGCCCGTATTGAGGCTTTAGAGGGTGAAATTAAGGAGCTTAAAACACTCATAAAAGCTAAAGAGGAAGAGAAAGACGTTTTAGAAAAGGAGTGGGAGGAAGAAGCAAATCAGAGACAAGCCTCAGTGAAATCCATCTCATCTCTTATGGCAGAGAAAGAACGGATAGAAGGAGAAAATGGACGAATGGTAGAGGAAAAAGAGAAACTGCAGTCCACCTTATTGTCAGTGGAACAAGAGAGAAATGAGCTGCGCTGCACTCTTGCTTCTGTAAAAGAAGAGAAGGAAAGACTAGAGCAAGAGAGGGAGGTGGTTGCTAATGAGGAAAAGAAGCTTCAAACTAGACTTGCTTTGATAGAAGAGGAGAAACATGACATGCAACAAACTCTTTCTTCACTCAAGCAAGAGAACAAAAGAATAGAGGAGGAGAAACAGAAGTTAGAGGTTGAAAAACAGGATTTGCAGTCTTCCCTTTCTTTGATTGAATCAGAGAAAGAGAACCTGTGCTCAGCTCTGTCTGTACTGGAAAAAGAGAAGCAAAGAGCAGAAGAAGAGAAAGAGAAACTCTCAGAGAGCCTCCAGTCTACTGTTGCCTCTATGGAGAAAGACCTGGAAACACACAAATTGTCCGTCGCACAATTCAATGAGCAGGTACAACGATCAAGAAAAAAATAAAAAATAAAGTAATCTAAACTCTGAAATAATCGTCACCAGTCTTACCACTTCACTCTCTGTCCATCTCCTCTAGGTGTCAGATCTAACATCTCGTGCTGCTCGTCTGTCCAAAGAGAGAGACTCTGCTCTCAGCAAGATGAATCTTTGGATGAAAACCTGCAAACAGCTGGAGCAAGAGAAGCAAATGATGTTAAACAGCTCAGGTGCATATATGATTAACAGATTTAACAGTTAGTCTTCATCTATAATCGTAATCTCCACAAAGTGCTGTTGGATATTTTTGTTAACTTTAGACACTTTTTTGTTTCAGGAAATCAAAAGAGCACTGAGGCGGAAAAAACCAAGGAGATGGAAGAACTTAAGGCTGCTCTCGATGGAAGGAAGAGGGAATTAGAAGAAAAAGATAAAGAGCTGGAGGAGATGAAGAGTGAGTTGGAAGAAGTGAACAAACTTCTGGAGGAGAAGAGCACAGAGGCTGATGAGAGCATGGATAAATACTGCAGTCTGATGGTTGAAGTTCACAAACTGGAAGAGGCCAACAATGCACTGACCACTCGGCTAGAACAGATTACCGTTAGCCAACGTGCCAATGAGGCTAACACCCATTCTAGCAGTGCTGTCAATGCTCATCTCCGACGCTCAGGAAGGAAGTCTTCCTCGAAACATCAGGGAGAAAAGATGCATGAAAACACGGAGAACATGGCTCCCTCAACACCTCAGAGGTCATCTCCAGGGAAACGGGGTCACCGTGACATCAGTGATAAAGACAGCGCCCAAGAGGCCCTGCACAACCTGACAAAGAAGATCAAAGCTAATGCGGCGACTACACCCAAACCAAGTACTGAACAGGACGATGAGTTCAGGCCAGAGGGACTTCCTGAGCTGGTGCAGAAAGGTTTGTGTTGGGTGGTCATCCGTATTAGCCACACTATTACAAAACTATCACAAAAAAGTAGTAGTTTGTTTTCTGTGATGGTGTATACGAGTGTGAGTCCTAGTTTTAGCAGTCAGACCTCTCATGTTAGTGGGATACAGTGTGATTAGCTTATAACTCATGTGGAGAAAGTTTAATTTTTACAAGGAATTAACACAAATGAGTGTCAGTGCCAAGCTCTGCTCTACCATATTTCTATTGGTTTGAATTACTGTAAGCCTCTGGGCCTTTCACATTTTTTATTCATTTTTATTTCATAAATTTGTGCAGACCTGATTTTGAAACAAGAGTGTGTAAAACTAGCTGACACAGGTACAAATGCACAGAAATGGCTGCAACGCTAGTTGGCAGAAGAATTCACTAACTTTTCACTCATCATGACTTTCATTCTCTGTAGTGAAAAAACCATCATCATTTGTACTCCCCCAGGCTTTGCTGATATTCCCCTCGGGGAGATGAGTCCATTCATCATGAGGAGAACCACAGTGAAACGCTGCAGTCCTCGGCTGGCTGCCAAGCAGACTGTTCTCACATCTGCCCCTGATGGCAAGGTGAGCAATATATACCCAATGGCCACTTTATTAGGTACACTGATGTCAACATGTCAAAACATGTGAATCATGTCACAATGTACTATATACTCATTTCACAGTATTAGGCAGTATTGTGAACAGTGGAGTCTGACTTTAGGCATAGGGCAAGAAAAAAAAGGAGAAAAGAGATGAGTATATTTAAATGTGAGCTGCCAGCATCTCTGTGTGCAAATGTGTTTGTGTGTCAGTCTCTGTCTTTCTGACTGTGTCACATTTGCAGTTAGCTGACTGGTAAAAAGCCTTTTCACTTGTTTTCTTTCATAAGTCTGTGCCTGCATCGATGTTACTATTGTTTCTTCTCATTTGTGTAACTGGCATTGCCACCTATACTGAGAAAAATATTAAATGTTTATTAAAAATTTTAATGATGCCTTGTTAAATATGACAGATTGACAACTGTAACAATATGTACTTATCACATGTAACCAGACCGATCGTTCCACACTTACAATTTATGTTAATATGAATACAATATAATGCAGTGCATTTAGAACCAGTGCAAATGGAGGATTAACTCCTCGTGTGTTTGCTCTCTGTGTCAGCCTCCATCTTTGCTGAAATACATTGGTTTAAAATACACATGTAACATAACCATAAGGGCAGGGATACATTTGTACTGTAAAAATAGTATCTTTGAGGTCACCTGTTTGGGTCTGAAGGAAACTTTTACAGATGGTGGAAACTGAACTCTTCAACTACGCCAGTGTGTATGTGTTAGTTTAGGTTTTCAGGCCCCAAATATGTCCAGAGGATATCCGGACCCCTCACACCTTTAAGTCAGTGCAGGTCAGCTTCTTATTGTGTCAGGTCATCTGAAGGGAAGAAATGGTGGATTTAAAGGATGTTGAAGTTTCAGGTCAAAGAGGTCAAGAGGAAAGAATGCCTCACAGTCACCTGCTAGACTGAACCCCCACTGGATGTGTGTCTTTATAATGTGTCCACTTACACTGAAGTGTTGCTGCCAAATGAGCTTTATTTCTTTCATTCACAAATGTCCCACTTCCTACTTTGCTGTGTCTCTCTTTTACTCTGTCTCTCTCATCATATATTTCCTTGTTCTGTCTCCACAGCTTTTGGGGCCCACACCACTTGAGAGTCCCTCTGCAGACAGCTCCAACAGGAAGAGTCTCTCCCCAAGCAGCGAGGAGAAACCTGTGTGTCAATCACTCAGCTTACTGAAAACACCAGAGCAAAAAGACCAAACACATCAAGGAGACAACTGTCACGTTCAGTAGATTGATGTGTACACACACACACACACACACACACACACACACACACACACACACACACACACACAGTCTTGCACTTGTGATTTATTTGTAGAAGTATATAGATTCAAATGCCTAGATACACATAAGATTAACACACACATTAAAGCTAAAAGTGCTAAACACTCACAATGCACCTTTTCTTCCCCCTTCTGTTTGGGACTGTGGCAGGGGCTGTAGCAAAAGCACCAACTATACTTCACTTGTTCTTTCCAACCTGTTCGTAGCTGATAGTCATGAGAAATAAAAGCAATCACTAACCCAAGTAAGGTGATGAGGCAGTGGGAAAATATCCAAGCGCTGATTTTTTTCATAGCACTGTTTGTCATTATGCTCTGTTTTGACTGAAATTGTCTGTGTCTTTGAAATGTCAAAAAAAATGTATCAAAGTGTTTTAGAATGAATGAAACACCATTGGTTTGTAATGCCTCTGAATGTATCTTCATCTCTTCACTTTGTAACAGTCTGTTTGTTTATCTTTACCACTGACTCACTGGTTGTATTTTCTTTTCTTTTGTACTGTTCTTGTCTCCTTGGTGTGTTTTGAACTTTGTACATAGTAGATGATATGTACAGCTATGCTTCATCTATATGTCCTGTGACATATCAGCTAAATGCTAATGGCAGCTAACTTTGTGTAGATTTTATGCTCTGTTTAATCCTTTTTAAATATTTTAATTGTTGAAGTCAAGACAACAAATCTGATGAACATAGTTTTTGCTAGGACTTCTTTCTTTTTGCAGCAAATGCTGACAGCATATCTGTATTTCATCACAGTATCTGTTTTTATTTAGGTGTAGATTCATGTTATTGATCATTGTAAATAGTTAATGAAGCCAAATAGTTCAACATGACTTTTTTACTAAACCTTTCTTAACTGCTTCATAGCTGGTGTGATCTTTGTCTGGTCTTTGTTGCTGATATTTGATGATAACTTGAAAACATTAAGCAAGAGAGTGTGAACAGAAGGGTATCTGTGTAGCAGTGCACTATGCCACCACAGGGTGGAGAACCTGAGCCACGTGGAGAACAGGCATTGGACTTAGGTGTAGAGTACGGCAGTGTGCTGGGTGTGAGCTGCTGAGGGAAGGATTTGTGATTGCAACAAGCATGATACACCTCAGACAAAAGTCAGATTTATCTCTCAGTGTGACTAACACTTAAGAATTTTTATCCATCAGATGAGAGAATTAAATATCTGAGGAGACTTTTATATGGTTCCTCCAGTCTACTTGCATCTGGCTTCAGTTCACTAGCCTGCATCATCTAGAGGCAACATTGGTAAGGCTACACCACCAGCTGTCTGCCTTTTTAATAATGCAGAAGTTGATTCAGATGTCAACTTTCAAAGCACAGCTAATTAGAACCTGCTCATAAAAGACACGCTCAAGTGTTGTGTAGTTTTACAAGAGAATTGGAAAACAATCTAATTTGCTCATGATGGAGAGAGGTAATCACATGGTGATGCTGTTTGGCTTTATTAGGTCGTATGTGATATTAAAATGATCAGTGACCCACTGGACTGCATCTGCCACAGCTACAAGTTATATACACATACTTTAAGTTAGTCTTAACTTCAGAGACACATTTCTGTTTTACTTCTGATAGCAAATAAAATATTTATACACACAACTGAACATTAAAACCAACAGCTGAAAACAGCAATAAATACAATCTTCTGTCACAACACTCCACATATTTTACCCATTGTACTGTAACTATTTCCAAAATACTCAAACGGCACAATAACCTAACCAAACCTGATGTCTGCTCTTCTTTCAGATATCCGCCTTTTAATTGAGAACAGTGAATTACACACAAGTGTCCCACAGCTTATACATCAAGTGTCCTTCATGCTGACTGAATGTATCTGCACTAACACATGGGAACAGCGACTGATGTAAAATGTCAAAAATGATTAGGCTGTTCTTTATTTTCTGAGTGTACCTTTGTGTGTCTGAGGAACACTGATTTGGATCAATGACCATTGATTTTCTTTTCTGGTCTACAGACATTAGAATTAGAAGTATTGATGTGTGCTGACCTTTTGACCTCTTCTTTTAGGCCTGCTAAGGACACATTAAAATAGTCATCCATCTTTCTTGTTGGAACACCAAAGAAAGCTGGATACCTGCTTTGTTCATTCATTCTCCTACATTCCAGTGTCTCTTTCCTCCTGGCAGTGGGTGAGGAGGCAGCAGGGCATGCTGGGTTGTGGGAACAGAGAGGAGAGGACACAGCCACACACCTCAGAGCGGATGCAGTCCTGCTCTGATGTCTCTGGCTGGAGCTTTTAGCGGAAGCTGCAGTGCCAGAACCAACTCTGGCCGAGGACACGGGAAATGAGGAGATGGGTCCACTGAGCTATGTTATCACTGGCACTCAGACTGGAGAGTGAGTGTGTCCGTCTATGTAACTGACAGACTGACTGACTGTCAATCCCCCGCTGTATGCATGATTTGTCCCATTCTTTACCCGGCAACACTGTGTAAGCAGAAGTCCTCAGGGCCAGAGCAGAGTCACTGACAGGAAGTGTCGACTGGTTTGTGTGAACAGGACAGAGGGAAAGAGATGGTAGTGCATTTTAGTTACTTTGCAACCTGAATTATATAATCTGCAATGTTACAATATGACCCAAAGATAGCTTTACTACTGAGAGTGAAATGGACAGAGCAATGTACCCGTGTGGGCTGCCAGGTTGTGAAAAAACCCTTTATCTGTTCATTAGGGAGACTGTTTGATCAGCAAAACAATTTTTTGCATTCGGGCAACCCAAAAATTTTTCCTATAAATTACTTTTCAAGTATTAGTTAATTACTAATTAACCATTAATGAAGCCATTAGTTAATAGCAATAAATCCTCTATAAAGGGTGAGTTATTAGAAAGTGGTACCAAAACATATTATGTATGAGGCAGGGAGAAAAAAACACCACTACTATTTTTTGATGTTCAGTCATAAGTTAAGGACCCTGCTGATACAATTACTTGTCTTATAGCTTGAACTACTAATTAGACGTGCTGTATTTTATAGTGCTCCTAACATCCTGCCTTCATCCCCAGCATCATTTAACCTGGCACAGGATTGTCTTTTAGAAACACTCAAGCTATTTAGTTTTGCATTTAAATTGAAAAATGTATCGAGTTCCTTTAAAACATACCAATTCATCACACGCGAACCTTAAAAGGCCTTAAAATCTTGAAATTCTCTGCTCTTTTTTGTTCTTGTTAGGTGTGATAAAGATGCTTTAAGCCACACTAACGCCTGGCATTTGTGGAAGGTTCAATGAAGCACATGTCCTATTGAAGTGGTGGAAAATGAAGAATGTATGGTCTAGTTTGTGCAGCCTGTCCGTCTGTCTCTGTCTGTCTGTCTGTCCGTCCGTCTGTCTGTCTGTCTGTCTGTCTGTCTGTCTGTCTGTCTGTCTGTCTGTCTGTCTGTCTGTCTGTCTGTCTGTCTGTCTGTCTGTCTGTCTGTCTGTCTGTCTGTCTGTCTGTCTGTCTGTCTGTCTGTCTGTCTGTCTGTCTGTCTGTCTGTCTGTCTGTCTGTCTGTCTGTCTGTCTGTCTGTCTGTCTGTCTGTCTGTCTGTCTGTCTGTCTGTCTGTCTGTCTGTCTGTCTGTCTGTCTGTCTGTCTGTCTGTCTGTCTGTCTGTCTGTCTGTCAGGGGCAATTTGCCACAATAGAGGAGGATTTCAGATTGAAATAGAATTTAGAAATATCCAGATTGAAGTCTTACAAATACATATTTTTAGAGGGAAATAAAGGAAAAGGCTTGTCGAGCACCTGATCATGTGTGTCTGACTCTCACAGTGTTGCCTCCCTGCACTCACCACCTCCTCCTGGATGGGGATATAATGTTCAATTACACACAGAGCTGGAGCTATTTTTAATAACCAGTATCCTCGGGCCTTTTTACTGCACCTTTCGAGCAAAGAATTGCCTATATGTGCACAGAACTAAAAATAGAAACCATTAGAACAGAATCAACATAAAGGCCACTGGAGGCTTCAGGTCATTTGAATTCTGTAGTTATAATGTTTTGAAACATTAACCCCCCTCCAGGAAATAACTTTCAAAGACTGGTGTTGAACAAGGACATCACTGTGGAGGAGGAAGGGTCTCAGTGGTATTAATATAGAGCTGTGGCAAATGTAGCAGTGCTCTCTGCTCCATGAAACTGCTTGAGAGCTTTCAGTTACATAGACTTCACTAGACCTGGGTAGAACAAACACACTCACCACAGATACAAAGGCCTACTGTACTGTCTATTTTTTAGATCTTACAACAGAAACAACTCTTTATTGTGGCATATACCCATTAAATTATGGTAACTATTGTTACTACTCCTGTTATTTAAATAAAAACAATGGTTACTGTTATGTAGGAAGTATGGACGAACCTTCTGAACACAGACTCTTGATGCAGCAAGATGAACTAGGGGTCAGTGAGGTTGTTCCTCAATGATTGTGGACCAGAGTTTTTCCACTTAGAGGGTCATTTCATCCAAATTTCAAAATCACATTTCCTTGATTCTTCCTAAACCATGGAACTGAAGATAGTTTCGGTTTTATTTCTTGGTGTAAGATGTTTTTTTTTGTTGCTAAATGGGAAAACATGATAAACCTGCAGAATGTCCTTAGTGTCTGGATAATCCACAGATCTCACTGTGAACAATTTTAGACAGAACATATCGAGTAAATACTGAATACAGAACTCATGTTTTATTTATTCATTTATTTATTTATTGGTGTGTTATTTGGGTGAGGTGATCCTTGAAGGTGTGCTGGAGCAGGATCCTGAGTGGTCAGTTCCAGTGTTGCAACTTCTCAAAAGCCCATATTAAAGACCAGAGGATGGGTATTATGCAATGGAAAGCCACAGCCTGAAGTGGTGTGAGTGGATAAAATGCAAAAGACTTTTGCATGTTTTCTTATTTATATGAATGTATAAGCCTGTGCCTATCTTGAATTTTGTT